CAAGCAACCATAGCGGCAGCAGCGGAGGTATGGCGCAAACACCAACAAGTCCGTCCATGCCTATGCAAGATGGGCGCAACCATCAGTCCCAGCAAGTCAAATCTGACACCGATGTACCCATAGATCCCTCAATCGCGGCACCTAGCCCTACGTACGCGCCTCCTAACCAATACTCGCCCTACGCGCCGCCTCCTCCAGACATGTCGCATAACTACCCGCAGAGCGCCGGCAGTCTGTACGCGCAGCCCCGACCTGATTGGGCAAACTATGGGCATCCGGGTGCCCCTGGGCAGATGCCGCATCCCCATTCAGTCTACCCTCACACGCAATCCACAGCCGCCCCGGGGCGACCAGCTCAGGTAGGTAATTGTCTTTTATAGGTTCGAAGGGTTCGGTTTTCCATGTGGCGAGTATGGTGAGAAGCAACATGTGTCGTTGCGAAATAAAATTGTCTGGGACGACGATCAGATGAAATACACCCATTGTCTCTGGGTATCTACTAATTTTGACGGGCACTAATCGTGTTCTCCTATAACTTTTTGTGTGAAGTAGCTGATTTCATTGACAGTATGGTGCGCAGCAGGTCTACTCCTTCGTTCCGATTCCTGGAGCCCAGCAGCACAAGCGACCTCGAAGACGATACGAAGAAATTGAGCGTATGTATAAGTGCGGATGGAGTGGCTGCGAAAAGGCCTACGGTACGCTTAACCATTTGAACGCGCACGTAACAATGCAGAGCCATGGGCAGAAACGAACCCCCGAAGGTAAGTTATTATCATCCCATTCTGGCTTTCCTTTATATAAATACACATGAGATGAATGGTGCGCGGAGAGGAGCACGCTTTGGTCTTCACCAGATGATTGCTACTAGCCGGATGGTGGTGGTGGGGAGACAAAGCGCTGTTTAGGCATTCAGCCGGACTCATGCCGGTTGATGACTTAGCTCGTGCTAGGCAAAGACCAGCGCGATCCCCGCAATGCGAAAAACAAAGTAGTGCTAGAACTAAAATACGGCGCTGTTTGCTAACTACTTTCATCGCATAGAATTTAAGGAGATCCGAAAAGAGTGGAAGGCTCGCAAGAAGGAGGAGGAGCAGCAACGGAAGGCGGCTGAAGAGGCCGAGCGCCAACGCCATGCTGCCGCTGCCGCTGCAGCTCAGAATGGCGCTGGAGACCCGCAAGGTGGTGATTCGGGACAGGCACCGTCGTCATATACAACTAGTCGACAAGTACAACTACCGCCTATCGGCTACCAGCCGACTCAGTATCCTGCACCCCCGTCGGCTACGGTACCGCAGCAGCAAATCCCTGAGTACAGCCCTACGAACCACATGTACTCCGGGTATCAGCAGCCGGCATCGCCATATGGTCCTCAGAACCAGAATATTTATGGCAGCCAGCGGGAATAGGCTTTCGTCCCATCATCTCGGTCTAAATAGCTACTAGTAGGTAGCAGTATAGTCCTCGAGGCGACGCCTGTTAGGGTGGTTTAACTTCACATTTCCCTCCCCTTTTTTCTTTAAGAATGGATCATCAAAAGTCTATAAAGTCTCGACACCCTGGTGTACGATACGCAGTGATTCCCCCCGCAGCAACAAAACTTTTCGTCTTCTGATTCGATTGATTCATACGAAGTTAGATATTGGTGACGTTTTTACGACAGCATTGCGTTCGGAGCATTTCTGGCTCGGATCAGCGTGGAAGTATTCGAAGCACACGCATTCTAATGACCAACATTGATTTCTCGCATACAGCATCGGGGACCGTGGGCGGCGAGGGCGGGAGATGAATAAGCCTTGCATTTGGTTGGGTGTCTGGGAAGGCGGGTATGAAACAATGATATGGAGCTTCTAGGCTCAAGGTCATATTTGGTCATGGTGCGGCGGCTTTGTGTTAAAGGTCTGGTCTATCTCGCGAAGAGCTCTTCTCCTCGCGGAATCGGCCCCCGGCATGCCTTCTGTTCTCTCTTACATATTTCGCCGGACATATCTATTTTACAGTACAGGAAAGGGTTTTTCTTCTCCGTTAAGGGGAAGGTTCCGTCTCTCTGGTCCAGACTAGCAACTCGACGGAACTACGAAGAACCTGCTGGAGTAATCCTTCGTTTTTTTTTTGCCCGAGATATTCGGGTATTAATCAAAGTTGCGTTTGATATATTTTTGTATTTGCCACGATTTATGAATTCGTGATTTGTCGTTCCTTTTATGTGCCTCCTCCCAACTCGCCCGATATAAGGCAGGCTGCCTATAAATCCCGGGAATCTGGAACACTGCTACATCACCCATGCGTTTCTGATGTCAAAAGATGTAAGCAGTAGGGTAAAAAAGACGCACTCTAAATTAGGGTGCCTTAGTTTCTTGTGACACCGTAGCCACGAGGAATCCATGTGTTGACAAGAAGGTTCCTTAGGGCTACTAGTCTCGTTGGCAAGTCGGGGTTTTTCATTAGGTGTGGTTACACAGAGACGTCTACGTACCCAGGCATGTATGTGTGGATGTATGTATGTATCTATTCTGTAGACGCACAGCCGATCCTAGGCCATCGTTACATTCAAATATCCTTAGTCGAATTTCTTAAGTTACGAGGTACTCATTCTCGTGACACCGAGCGTGTCGATATTGTGCTACTATGTACCAAGTATTAGTAAGTTGCAATTATTGAGGATATACCTAGTAGACATTACTCTGACTAATATTGAATATTACTTGAGAAAATTTGGAAATATCCTTAGAGTTATTCATGGTTGTGCCAAGCATAACATACATTGTGCAGAAATGCCGTCGTGGAATAGTTGAACTTAGCCATTTCCACCACGTAGCTAGAACAAATTGAGTTGCGCTACAGCATCAAAGTGTCTCACGGGAAAGGCCCAAGCTACATTGTTTTAGACTATTTCTAGAAGAATTTCTATAAGAGTCTCTGAACTTTAAGCTCATGCATTTATTTATGGGTCTTCCCACTCTAATGGCTATGGCCGAGGTAAATATTAAACTCTCCTTTTTTATGTTTGCTTCGAGAATGCATACTTGCCTAGGTTAATCAAGACTAAAGAAGCTTACTTGAGGTAACATCTATTAAACTCGTGCATTGCGTTAGTACTACACGATACGGTACTTACGGTACACATTTAAATAAGCTACATACATAACGCACTTTAGCCAAATCGACTTCTCTTGTTTATTCGGCCGACTTAGAGCAACTACGGACGAACGAGGCCATAGGCGAACCAAACTTCAAACCCCATGTCTAGCCCGCTCCCAGAGTCCGGGAACGGGCTTGAGCTAGTGACGTTACAAAGTGTCTCGCCTTAGTGCGTTTCCCTATTTTACTCAATCCCGGAAAATATTAAAAATAAAAATAAAAATAGGCGATTTATTTAGATGCAGATGAGCTTAGGTAGATTCGGGAATCTGGGTTTAAGCAAGTCTAAGATGCGGTTTGTGTTGGTGTGGAAGACAGCGGCCGGACTAGACAAGGGGTGTTAGCTCGAAAATGCCATGCGAGCGCCGTTGGAAAGTCTTGGGACGTGTGGACGCAACCCCGGCCGTGGCCAATGCAGCGGGCCGCTAAACCCACAATTAACGTTGACGTTGCCTTATGCCTCGTGCTCTCCTGGTTCTTGGTGGCCTGTATGCGACCCGGGGGAGGGTTTAGACTGTTCTCGATGTAACCTTGAGGATAGCGTCGTCCGTCTATTTTTATTCTATCATATTTCTTTATTTTTTTATTCTCTAAATTTATATATTAGTTTTATCTAATTTAGTGTTCGTCCCAAGCTCAGATAGGTAGGAAGGTCGATCGTGGCTCTTGCTCTTTTGATTCTAGCGCCTGTTCGGGTGAATAGGCTACTTGTATGATGTATCGACTATATAAACTCATAAGGTTAGTCCTAGCCTTACTTTTCCCGCAACTTACCTCACTTGTTCATACTTTGGTTCAACTCTAATGTTCCAACTTTCTGCTCATCCATGCTTGCTAGCTTACTGATCATGTATGAATAGCATCTTCATTGGCATTCTATTTGCTTTCTTGTGCTTGTAGCTGGATGAAGTCGATGTAGGTCTGAGACATGCATACCTTATTCGGTTTCGACAATGATGGTTTATTTCATTGAAATGAGAATACTATTAACCTTAGAAACATCGAATTTACCACCATCGCAATGATTAGTCAACTATTACCATCTAATCACCTACTAACAAATAGCAACTCATCCTCATCGAATCACGTAACAACTTTATCACCAACGCACCATCTCGTGTATTATTAGGTATTCACTAGCTAAGAGCACTGATTACACTGATTGCTCGGTATATTTAATACTAGGGAATCAGACAGTTCGGGTAGACTGTTTCAGCAACAGACACAATTAGCTCATGTCATTACAGGAAGAAACCTTCTTTACATCTATCAAGGCGTCAAATCAGATGAATTGTGTTACCAATCCCACCCGCCAGCCGATACTCTGCGATGTGAAAGATAAGGTATGGACTTGTATATGCTTAGTCAATGAGAACAGCTCCTGCTGTGCCGCCTCAGGGTCTCACTTACGTACATTCTCCGCAGATGGTCTAGAGCTGGCCGAAACTCGACAATAACCCACGACGCATCAGGGAAATTTCTCAAGGAGCACCAAAGATGCTTATCTTTATCGTACCTGCCATATAGTCGGTCGTGCCTTCCCTCACAAACAATAACGTTTGACCAAGGAGCGGCTACCACAGGTGTTAGTACATCAGAGCGCGGCTTATGACGTAGCTACCTTATGAATTGACTTCGTCTAATTACTGTCCCCTCCTTATCTCCTTCCAATCCTACCTATCAACGTCACTCTACTTACGGAAGGACCCTGAGAATCAATTTCGTCCCTTCCAAAAAATGTAGACAAGTGCAACATCAGATGATAGATAGATGGTGGGTGTTAGGGGCACACTAAGGGACACGTTCAGTGACAGATTTACCTTTCTATGACATGAGCTGCTTCCCAATTAAGAAACCTAACTTATCAAAAGCTTTCACAGTTTATTACTCTGGACGTTAATCAATTCACAGCATATTCAAAGCCATCTTCATATTTCATCACATCGCCGTAAGGAATATGCCGTCTGCAGAAGGTACCTCAGCCGCCTGGCTCGCCGACAGGGATCCTCAGAGTGTCAAATCAAAATCGGGTAATGGCGGCAATAGTGGGGTGAAGACCCTGATCAATCCACACTCAGCTCTAGATCCATTTTCTATCACAGATCGTAAAGATCGTTTGCCTTCCAATTCCAACACCAAATCAGCCTCAAATTCATCAAGACCATGTCTCCCTGACCGCACCAAATCTGTTGAGTCCCTTACGACCTTGGGCGCTTACCCTCTAGGATCCCTCCGACTCGTAGATAGGCGGACCCCAGAGCCGTCTTTAAACCTGAATACGGTCATGGAAACCTCATCCGATCCTAAGCCTAAAGATGCTTTTCCCACAGGTGGCGATGTCTTCATCCTGGATGACCTACCACCAAATTTTACAGTCGGATGCGACACGATGTCCTTCTCGACAAGAAACCCGTTCCCGGGATTTCGCGAAATACCGCCCGGGGCGCATCTCATCTGGGTCGCCCCCTCTGAGCTAACATCGTCTCGAAGCGCATATTGGATCGTCACGCCCGAGCGGGGAGAATGGGAGAAATCAGAGGTCCACGTAAAGCAATGGGACAAATTCAACGAAATTCTCGGCGAGCCAGCCAGCCACGCCGAGGAGCGATTCCAAAAGGAGCGGTTAAAAGAGGCATTTGACAGTCTATCGCCGTACCAATTCCGTGGCGTCACATCTGGCGTACGCCTCTCACCACCCAAACACGAAACCGAGCTTCCTTCGTTTCTAGCCCACGAGACGATATGGTCTCAGCTGACATGGGCAATCCGCCCGGACTTGCTCAATAGGGTAACCGGGACGACGCAAACAAGCTGGCAAGTAACGACACTAGATGACGTCGTCGGCGCCGCCAAAATCGCCGAAGAAGTACGCCTCTACGCCACTGGCAAGCCCCAACTCCGCTTCACCTTCCCCATGAACGCGGCCCTAATCTCCGCCTCCGCGCATGGCAGCGAGCGCACGCAGCAAGCCCTAGACCCAACCCCCTTCATAATCTCGACTCTCGAAAACCCGTCCACAAACCTACGTCTCGACGACTTAGTCGGAGAGCTCTCCCTCGCCTTCCTAACTGGCATGCACCTCGGCAACTTCTCGTGTCTAGAACAATGGTGGTTCTTAACGAACCGCGTGATATTCCGGTGTTTCGACCTAAGCATCCAACGCCCCGTCCTCGCGCTGAACCTCCTCCAAACCTTCCACGCCCAGCTCGTGTATAACGACCGCTACCTCGAAGGCGACATCCTCGACATGATGCCCGAGCAGTCCCGCAAACTACAGCGCGCGCTCGTCACTTACAAAGCGCGCCTCGACGAGCGTCTTCTCGCTCTAGGCGACCGTATCGAGCCCGACCAGCATAGAGCTGGGGAAGCGTTCTCGGCGCTGGAGGCTTGGCTTTGGAGGCGGGGATGGGATCTTAGGGGTAGTTATGTGCGCGCGGGGACCCTGACGCTGGAGGATGGGGAGGAGGTGCAGGCTGAGATGTCGGATTTCGAGGACGAGGATGAGAGGGGCGAGTTTGCGCCTGTGCTGGTGGATTTGGATGAGGGGGGACGGGAGGCGGGGCTGGTTTCGTGGGAGAAGTGAGGGGGTCTGGGATGGACTGGGGTGGATTGGTGTGGGTGAATGGATGGATGGCTAGATCGATCGATGAATCGAACAAAGCACGCGCTCGCGCGCTCGATTTAATATTAATATCTACGTTGATGGTTGCGAGCAAGCATCTTCGATATGCTTGGTCAACTGTCGTTTTAGTTCCTTGCCTACCACTTACCCAGACAACCCCGAGATCAGCGTTTACGGACACCTACGGGATGGCGGCCTTCTCTATGGTTCAGAGCTGGTTTTCTCTCTATTTCTCTTCGTTGCATTGAATTACCTATTTATACGCTTTGTTCACGCATCCCTGGTGTTCGTTGATTCTGGTCTTGGTCTTTGGTTATACTTCCCGTTGTATAATTACTATAAGCCTTTCTATCTTATCTGATAGAACGAAAGGACGAGAACCCGGCTCTGGTCATGGTCATGCTCGGGTCTTGGTTGGTAGATAGTAGACCGGCATAGGTTCATTCCTCTTCGTGTACCTAAGTAGTTTAATTCGTCAAAGGTCCGAATTAATGATTTATGATTCATGATACCTGGGCATAATATGGTGATTGGTATTATGGTGTTGTGAATATGCGACCTTAGCCTCCGTGGCAGAGCACAAAGATGGTTTCCAACATACACTCTCACTAGAATGGGAGTCTGAGTCTTTATGGCTTGTGACCGAGGAAGTATTATCATACCTTATTCCAAAACCAGGCTCTTTAGTAACAATTTCCTAAGACTTGATAGCCTCATGACAATTCACTACCAACACCTTACCATGTAATATCACGAAGTCTAGACCAGCACAGTTTTTAGAAGAATTTGTCATTTCGTTCGCCTAATCCCTTTACAACCAGGCCATGCAAATGCATTGATAATAGAGAGTTTGAAGGCATCTTAGTAGTAGAGATAGCCCTCGCAAAAGGATTTCCCTTTTCTCAAGACTCCAGAGGTTCCCGACCAGCCGCCATTAGCCGGTTTCTCGATTTCGTTGCGCAAAAAGGAGACAACCAGGCAATGAAAAAAAGAAGCGCCAGCTGTTCCCGTGGCCGATTCTTTTTCTTTTCCTCTCCCCCGCCACGATTTCCCGGCCTCCCATAGGTACACCAAGATCGTCCCATCCCCAAACTCCGACGAAGAGAAGAATCTCTTAACGGTAGGACTTTTGGTAACGGGCACGCGCACCCGGACCGCCGAACTTCTTGGGCTCGCACCGACGGTTGTCGGCAACGAGGAGGGTACGGTCATATTGGACTAGGGCCTGCTTGAGCATGTTCTTGGAGTGCTCATCGACGAACTTCTGGTAGTAGGCGATCAGGGCCTTGGCGATGGACTGACGGACAGCATAGACCTGAGAAGTGTGACCACCACCGGTAACGCGAACTCGGATATCGACCTGGGCGAACTTGTCGAGTCCGACGATGAGGAGAGGTTCGTAGACCTGACGTGCTTTGTTAATATATAAATTCCATTTCCATTTACGATTCGTTATGAATTAAAATGTTCTTCTAGTATTTGGTAATGGTTTATGGTTCGCATTTATGACGGGAATAAGAATACGAGAATTTATGGAATGAATATTCGAGGATGGATTTAATATCGGAATCGTGGAAGATGTTCGTTCGTACCTTGAATCGGAGAACCTCAGGCTGGACCAGAGATAGCGGTCGGCCGTTGACCTTGATGAGACCGGAGCCGGCCTAGAATTGAAGATAATTTCATTAGTATCCTTTTCGCCCAAGTTGAAATTTGTTTCCGTCTCTGGCGACAACGATGCTGATGTTGACGTTGGTGCCGCTCCATCGCATTTCGCTTCGATGTTTCGTGATGGACGACGAGATAAACTCACCTTGCAGTGGGCGACGGCGGTAGCCGTCTTCTTCTTGCCGAAGCACTGTACACTGTTGGTAGACATGGTTGCGTATTTGTCTGTAAATTTGGGTATGAAGGGATTCGCAACCAGAAAGTGCCTAGGCTTGAATGAGAGGGTACAGTCAAATTGGTGATGATGGAGAGTGTCAAAATTTTGCCGAAAAGTTGAAAAAGGGTTTGTGCCCTCGAAATACGCTAAGGTTGTTGAGAAATGCGCTAATGATGTTTAGGGAATAAGGTGTGGGAAGGTGAGTGTGGGTGGACCGAAGAAATTCCGGCGGGACATCACACTGTATCTTACGTAATCGGAGTTAGATGGCTCTTATCGATAATTAACCTCCTGCCCCTCGAAAGGGCGCCACCGAAGTCAAACATAAAGTACAACTGCCGTTAACTGTGACTGCCTAATACCAAGTAATTCATTATATACTAATTATATCTATATTTATCATCAATATCAATTGAAGAATAAGGGGTACCCGTGCCATGTAAATAAGCCTCTGCTCCCTACAATCCATCTTTCCAACTTCCAGCTCCCAGTAACACGGAACCATACAATCCACTCGCGTGCCCTCCCAATCACCACCTCTCAGAGTTAACCACCCACCCCAACCCCTAATACTCTCATCACCAATACCCTCACCACCAAACCCAAGAAACCACCACCCCCCCAAAACCATGTCCCGCAAAGGCGTCGGCCTAGCGGCCTTCGACCGCTCGCGTCTCACCTCCGCCCAATACGCCTCTCACGGAAACACCCTACGGACGAGCGACGCCGCGGCGCTCGAGACGCAACTCTCCGTATTCCGCTCTCTCCTCCAACAATTCGCGCAAACACACGCGAAGGACATCCGCTCAGACCCGAGTTTCCGCGCGCAGTTCGCGCGCATGTGTACCGCGATCGGGGTGGACCCGCTCGCCTCATCCTCGTCGGGGGGAGGGGCGGGGATAGGGAGTAGTCTCTGGGCGCAGCTTTTAGGACGCAGCGTGAACGACTTCTACTTCGAGCTCGCGGTGCGCGTGGTTGAGGTATGCGGGGCCACGCGGGGGGAGAACGGAGGGTTGATTGGGGTGAGGGAGTTACGGGAACGGCTGGGGAGGGGGCGGATGGAGGGGGCGCCGGAGGTGACTGACGACGACGTGTTGAGAGCTGTCGGGACGCTGAAGCCGCTGGGGTCGAGTTACTCCGTTATCCGTGTGGGGAATAAGCCGTATATACGCTCTGTGCCGAAGGAGCTGAATACGGACCAGAGCGCTGTGTTGGAGGCCGTCCAGGTCCTGGGCTACGTGAGCATCTCGATGCTGATGGTTAACCTGCGTTGGGCGAGGGCTCGCGCCCAGACTGCTGTTGAGGATCTCCTTGGCGAGGGCATGTTGTGGGTTGATAAGCAGGCTCCTGAGTGGGAGTATTGGAGCCCTGGGTTTATGCTCGATGTTGATGTTACGACTACGACTACGGCCGGAGGATGAGAGCTCGGTTTGGTGGACTATTTCCATCTATCCGGATTATAATATTACGAAACGCGGACTACTGCTAAGGAGTACGAAACCAGCATGCTCTTATCTATAAGGCGTCGGGCGTGGGAGATTATGTGGATTTGGACGCCACCTAGGATATCGGAGATATCGGGGATGTACCACTCGAAAAATGTCTCTCCGGTCGGCTTGCTAGAAGGCGTCATCAAGGATGCCTAAATCATTCGGATCGTCAAATCATCGATATAAACATCCTTTTGCGTGGTACAAAGGAAGCCGGAGATTTTAGACGTTGGAGAAATGTAAATTACCTCTCCATGATCTGAAGAATTCGGGTTATAGAATAGCTGATTCTTTAACCACAAATCATCGAACTCTTACCCGAGAAACAGCACAATCACATCACAAACAGCAACAGACAAAATCATACCAGAAAGTAATTTAACTAATCTTCATTCAATATCAGAAACCCATTATCTTTATGTACCTGAATCCCACCGCTTCTATGCAAATGCTTCTTTAACCGCTTCTTCGGACACCCCCGCCACCAAACAACGAGTAGGTAGGCGAGGGCCATTTTTGTATACCGCAACTTATGCGCCGATAAGAGAATTCCAAGGTCTATATGTAAGGTAGGTACGTAACCATATAAAGGTTAGTTACCGGCTTTTTAGCCAAACGTTGCCTCCCCGAAACTCCGGAAGCGAAAATTATAGTACTCGTGACAAAGTAACAAGAAGGTCAGCGACCTTGACCGACGTCGGTTACCCAAGTGTTGAGTAGGTAGGCACCTCAGTGGTTTCAGAATCCAACTATTTTTTACAATGCACAAATGTACATCCCCTCTCCAAAAAAGAACCTTCGATTTATACACGGGCGCATATACGCCTTCCCGTCTCCGGGGAGTATTATCAATTAGTATATTCGATTACGTCGATTGTCTTGATATTCGAATCCATCTACATGGCCTCCTCGTCATCGTCCTCGCATTCGTACTCTTCGTTGTTGACGCTCTTACTATCACTATTGTCTCGGTCCCTCAGCCGATTCGTCAAAGCATTAAACTTGCCCTTGAGGAAGCCGGTGCCGATTGACTTCCGCCTCTCTCTCTGTTGGGTAAAACCAGCAGGGGCTGGCGATGCCGTTGCCGTTCGAAATGGACTCAATGCATGCATGCTGGCACTAGTTTTGGGTCGAGGCATGTCAATTCCTAGACCGGTAGGAGTGCGATCTATCGGAGTTGGCGGCGTCGTCATCTTAACGAAGGATGGCAAGGGTGGTGCTGGTCTTGTGGTGGTTGTGGTGCTGGTGCTGGTCTCTCCACCGTTGGAAGATTTGCGGGTGTATGAGCGAGAAGAAGCAACACTAGAGCTCCGGCTATTGGATCGCTGAGGTGCTGGAATATTTGAGTGTGCGCTTCTTATACTTCTCGGCGGCGACCGCGAGTAATCGACCGGGCTCGTTCCATATATACTTGACGAATCATCACTATTATCGCCGTTATTGGACGTGGATGGGGTTGCAAGGAGAACGCTGCTCGTAGCTAGTTCGCGAAGCTTGCCTTGCTGTGCAGTATTTGGTCGATGCTTGAATTTGTTGCTGATGATTGCGCCTGTGTGAGAGATCAGCGCCTTGACCACGCGACCTTTGAAGGCCAGAGCTAGATCGAGATTGGACCAGGTTTTATTGCGATATTCGATTGTTGGCAGTCGGAAGACAAAATCGTGCACGTCTTCAATATTTCGATCGCTTTTACCCTTGTAACTGAGGCAAAGGACGACTGATGGTAACTTGATGTATGCGAAAGTCATATAACTGGAAGCACGTGAGACCATCTTTGTCAGATCATCTGAAGGCTTCTCGTCAGAGTTGGCTGACTTTCGGGAAAGACCAAATCGTCCACCCTTCTTATTCTCGGTGCCAACCGCCATTGTCGCGGACCGACCAATGCCCGGTTTTTGTTGTGCAGCATTGACAGACCGCAGGGACTCGTATGATGGCTTCTTGGTTGCTGTCTTGGAACCAAAGAGTCGGAAGACACTACCTCCGTCGCCTGAGTACACGCTAGGTGCTTTGGTCTTCAGACTGCTGTCTTCATTAGGGCGAGAATCGAAGGTTAGTGTAGGACGAAGACGGAGCTCCAAAGACCCAGCACGCGTGGAAAACGTAGGCTCTTTGTCAGAGGCCGCAGTCCCAAGTCTACTAGAGCTAGATACAGAGTCATCTTGGGGGTCTTCTTCCTCTGGTTCACCGGGGAATGTTGACTTCGGGGCAGATGGCGAATCGGTCTGCTCATCTGTCTTCTCTCCGTCTAGTCCCGGGAAGATGTATTCGAAAAGTTTCTTTCCTACTTCACGCTCCAGCTGAATCTTCATTGGGAAGAGATTGACCTCAAAATGGTCCATCACTGGTATACCCGCAATAGCTTCCAGCATGCGCCAGTAAACCCGGATCATCTGGTTGTCTTCCAGACCGGTGAAGGCGGCCTTTTGATCCTCAAAGTAAGGCGCGACCATTTCAGGATAAATCGCATCCGGCATGAGGTTCAAGCCTAGGACTTTACCCACTTGCATCAAGTTAATATGAGATCCATCAGAGTTGTCTGTCCGATCGTACTCGACGTCCCTTAGCTGCAGCTCAACGAGAGGCTCGGTATTATCCCGAATAAGGTGCCAAACGATCTCCTTTGCTGCAATGGTCCACCTCAATAAAGCGTTGCTCTGCGAAGCATTGTTGGATTTGCGTTGCGAAGTGGTAATAGCTTTCATCATAAAAAACAACTCGTCTTCGCAAGCAGCCAGATCGCGTTCGAGAAGTAATCTATCTTCCCATCCCTTCCTATCCAGATACTTAGAATGAATTTGGAAATGCGCTTTGATATCTTCTAGTTGCCGAATACGTTCTTGCAACCTAGTGACCATTTCCGGTGTTCCTCGAAGGTCGCTGAAGTCCGACGCCAATATTATCTTTTCTAGCCTTTCACTTCTCGTCTTTTCTAGAGGCTCGCTGTACATGAGAAGATCTAGGACAATGACGTAGACCGCGTAATATTGCGACGAGTTGCAAAGAGCCCTCAATTGAGGAAATTCCACCCAAAGGTTATCCATCCTACTCTCGGTGCTCTCTACCGCTAGTGGATTGGCCTCGGTGTTGACTTCATCGTTGTACTTCAAACGAAGAGTGTTGAACTTGTCGTATCTTAGCATGGCCGATGTCTTCTGCACCACTCGCTTGAAGCCGAATGGATCTGATTTGAAATCGTACATGACTTCCATGGGCACCCAAGGTGGCCATGACGAACCAGAAGGCGTACCGTACGTGTTCCCTGAATACATAGACAGCAGCTGACCGGAGAACCACTTCTGGTGGGTCACAAAGAACTGCGCGCTGTCCATTTGAAGCAAGAAACGTCGTTGGACTAATCCGCTGACTTGATCAAACAGTCTAGCCTTCTCCATGACTTCGACCACTTTCAGTTCCATTCCTTTTCCAGTAATCAGGACGACATGCTTCTTGTTCTTTTCACTCTGGAGTTGGATTTGGGGCGCGATAAGTCGGACGTGGTACGAATTTTGGGGAGCAAAATCTTCCGCAATACCGCTAGTAATATCTTCCATATTGGGGTTGGTAGGTCCTTCAGAACCAGCGTGCCCATCAGCATTGACATATTTCCTACCATCTTTTAGGATTTGATTGATACGATACTCTATGTCTGGATCTGTGTCGCTGGGCTGTACAGTGCTACTAGCAGCTGATGATTGTTGCGTATCGTCGTTCGACTTATTGCCAGATTTGCTGTTTTGCTTGGCTCTTGTCTGCTCTTCGACAATATCTAGGATAAATTTGACGGCTGGCCTGGATAGATAGTAGACGAAACCACGTCTTTGGCTGACTTGGTGACTATATCGCAGAATGATGTTTCGTAACAGATTGTTCCACTTCAACTGCATGTTGTGGACGACAAACCTGTTCTTGAAATCGCTGGCGAATTCTGTCCCTGATGGTACTTTAACTTTGCCGTCTCCCATATCTATCCACTCTCTGGACTCGCGATTCGTAGACTGGGAGCCACTTGAACCACTTTGGGCATCCGTCGATGTTTTGATAGCTACCTGCTCTAGCATATTCTTCATGAAAGATAGCTTTTCTTTCAAGGCAATGGCATGTTTGCTTAGCAATTCAAACTCAGCTTTGATGTCGGGGTTATTGCTATTGTCTCGGATCATGCGTAATTCGGCGTCGCCAATGTTGCGCGCGTTGGTAGAAATCTGAGTTTGTAGCTGCTCCAGACGGGATTGAATGAGTTGATATTGGACCCTCCTAGGGTCGTCATCTTGGCTCATTATACAGAAATGGGTGGGCTCCTGCCCGAAAGGACTCGTGCGGTCTGGATCCCCATCTATCGTGCCGCCAATATCAGTCTGCCTGAAGTAGGTTACGCGCGGAGCGAATGCTAGCGGAAGTATCCTTGTATCTGGGTTTGGTTCCGATGGGAGGATCCAGTCAAGCTCCACAAAGTCATCCATATCGATCCAACTGTAATCATCGTCGGGGATGGTGAAATGGGAAAGATTCGTACTGTCGTTCTCTTGTTGTGTCATCAAAGTCGCAACTGAATTCTTCTTGATTGCCTCAGTAGTCGTGCCTCTCATACTAGCAGAAATAGCACGGACGTCTGCGGATACAAGATCGAGCTGGGCTGCGTGAATCTTCATGCCAGTTGTTCGCCCATTTGTCTTATGGCCTCTATCTCGGGTGTTGAACTCTTCTCGGCGTTGGTGAATATCGAGCATGAAGCTATCGAATCTAACTTTAATTCCGGTGGCTGAAACGGAGTTCTCGGCGTTATCCTCGACATCCTTGTGCTTGTAGATATGGCTGAGGAATAAGGGGGCCAAGAGAAGATTGTATTTGATAGTTCCTAGATGTCTTCCGAACTTCTTGCTGTTCTTCTCTCGTCCAGGCCAGAGAGATCCTTGACGGACGGGAAGTGACATCGGACCACTGAATAGAGACCACCAAGCAAAGAAGTGAGTAAAGAACCGAGGGGTTAAATGTACAGTGTTATAGCTCTTCGATGATTGAGCATCTGATGACGTCCAATGACGATCGACTGGTGCCCTTATAGCGAGGGAAAGATGTATGTGCTCGCTTCTAAAGCCGCTGAAGGCATCATAGGGGAGCGAGTCGCTCTCTGATTTAGCATGTTGGGGTGATTTTAAAACGACCTCGTAATGCGGCTTGAAGTCGAAATTCCGTTTGCCATCTTCGATAGCCTGCTCGAAAACGAGACCAGCCATCCATTGAACGTTACCCGAGACTTTCATGACAACTTTCTTGAACGATGCACCGGATTTGAAACTGTTGTCGCTTCTAACACTGTCTTCATCTCCAGCACGACGCGATTCCTCTCTGGCCTGGTGGCTGTAATCTGGGATAGCGAGGACGTACTCGCCGCTATCAACGACCATGAATTTCTTGGGGTCATCGTCAGTGTGGACATCCCACTTGACATTATTTCGCCAACACATTAAAAACCCAGCACCATTCCCGGTAACGTTATATGGATCTCTCGTGCCCTTAAGAGCGAGGTGCACGTCACCGTCTCCTTTCCACGCGGCCCGAAGTCGAGAATGGAAATTGAGTCTGATTTTGTCCCAGAAACCCACACGCTCCGAAGGATCTAATTGCGGTTTCGTGAATGACTCAATAACCATCATCATATCTTGAATAGCTGGTTGATACGAAGGGCCCCAGGTGATTCTGGTAGGATGAGCAGTATTGATGTCTATATTCATGTCTGAATACGACTTAACAGGTCCGATTGTGCGGCGAACATCGATGGCAAAGCTTCCATTTGGCATTCCCGGCTCCAGACTACTATTCGGTGGAGTAATTTCGACCTTGATCCTGCGAGTTGATTCATTGCCACGGAATTCTTCTGCAATTACAAAATCTGTTCTGAGAGATAGAGCTGCAAGTTTCGACGATTGACCAGACTTTATGGCGGGGACATGGAGTAAGGGTAGAGGATAATCCCGAAGACTAACCCGCACTTCACCCATACTAATCTGAACGTTCATAGGAACGAGAAGAGAGTACTTCATATCCTTTGGCATCCCTTTTCCAACACTGTGGAGGAAATCCGGTAGTTTATGCATTGGGAACGATGGCTTGTCAATCAGCACGTGTAGATCTGTTATGACTGTTCCCATCAACGCCGGTCGTTGGGGTACCTCGAGTATTTTTTCATTGTCTTCAAAGTCGTCGGGAATCTGATCCGGCCCCCAGAAGAGGCCACGAAGTTCCTTCATCCCATTCTTTGCCATCAGATAGTTACGGTCGATACGCTTCTTCCAGCTTTGGGCATTATGCTCGTGAAGTCTGAGTCTAGCCTCCTGAACTGACACGTGGGCGCTCCCGCTCATACCGCGGATCGTTTCCGGGTCATATCGGGGATTCCTATTCGTAGGTGCCTCACTACTGGAGCGCTCATCCCGACCGAATTTAGAAAGACCATCTTCACTCTTGCTACGACCCCAAGACGCATTTGAGGTGGCTGTTCTTCCTCTCGTCATCACCGATCGATTTCGAATCCGACTTGACTCTTTCCTCATCTCTTCTTCGTGGATCTTTTTCACCTTTACTTGGTATGCCTCCTCTCGTGCAATTCGTTGAAGTTGTTCGACACGCCCGGCTCTATATATTATTCCTAGTTTCCACTCAAAAGCGCCATCTTCAAGTTCAAATAGTAGTGTGCGAGTCCTCAGAGAGACCTTCGGAACATTCTTCGGACCTTCCGGTGCCTTGTCTAAGATATATTCGTTCGTGCCCGTCTTGAAGCGATGATGAAGTTGCTGACTCGCTTTGATCACATTAATAATATTGTCGGATATCATATTAATGATAAGCTCATGAGGCACGGCCAATCGCATAGCATCGGTAACAATATCGAACATTTTATCGTCGTGAAAACCACCGGTCGACATCTTTCTCCTTGACTGGCGATAGTCTAAACGAACGGTCTTGATGCTCGCGATGCGTGCCCAAACACCACGCATTCTAGGTGCGCCAGCATATACGCGTACTAATTTTGAGAAGAAAAATGGCGGCGACCATCTGTGACGTCCGGCTTCCATGTCGTAGATTTGTACCATCAACGGGGGATCGGAAGGCATTTCAGCCTTGATTTGAATCAACGCAGCCTTGATGTCAAACGTAACGAGCTCCTTATGATGGCGAGGGAAATCATCCATTTGGCCAGCGATAGGCGAGTCTGGTGAGACAAGCGGAGGACTAAGGAAACCGGTCTTCGGAGTTTTCGGACTTGTTGGTGGCGCTGGACGTTGCGATACTGGCCCTCTAACAAACGCCCTACGCAAAACCATGACAGCAACGCCCAAGGAATAATGTCGGAATAGAGAATATCGAACTAAGAGAGTTCTTATATGCGAATGAACATGTAGTATGGGACCCTGGCCATCACTATGCGTCGAAAGTGCTATCTCGAAGCGAGGTATTTGGACAAAGGGCTCAAGTTCCCATTTCTCAGGCCCTTCTACTATGAAAGCCTCCAAACCCCGTGTATGAACAGTAAGCCTTCGTCCATCACCGCCGCTCTGCTGCTTCTTCCTTGGAGATGGTGGCGTAGAAATTGATTTCAAAAACTCTGCGTCAGGCATAAAAGACCGACTAGCTGTTCTTCTTCTAGAAATTGGACGCTGTCGAAGTGCATCTAACCGCTGAGCTCGATACTCGGCCGACCAAGAATCCATTTGGAGCACAACACCCCTAGTATGCCCAGGGAAATCATCGTCAATTCCAGTAATTTCGGCGCTGAAATCTTCAACCTGAACGTTGAAATGAAGCAACCATGGCGGCAAGGCCCGAACCACGTTCTTCTTCGATTTCTGTGACCTTGATCCCATCCGCTTATCGGGCTCAACATCGAGCTTGAGCTGGCGAACTATTTGACGCAAACCCTTCGTTATCTCCGGACGGGTCATGCGGACCGCAAATGTTTGAAGATTGCCATTCGCAATGACATGGACGTCTGGGGTTGCCGAGACTTGGATCTTGAGGTCGAATGACTCCGTGTCCATTAGATCAAAGCGACTGCCTTGAGCGGTCTGATAGTAAAGATTGTGAGTTTGAATTCGCATAGACGACACTAAAGAGTAATGTAAATCTTCGACGGCAGAATGGAAAGACTCGAGATCAATTGAGATGGAAGAGATAGATGAGATGATTAAGTCAAAATCATCTGATTCATTGGTTTTCTGAACTGGAGGCAGAGATATCCTTATAACCGGTTCATGCATAGAGAACTTGATGTTGGCTTTCGGTAGTAGGCGAGAGATCAGCCTATGTCTCTGCTGCACATGGGCCTTCGGAGCCTTTGGTTGAGGTCGAAGAAGAGCGAGGAGTACTGGAAGATGTTTCGGATCCAAATCAACGGAAGGCGAGGTGACAACGGAGTTTGCGAAGAGGATATTAGCATTTCTTTCTTCAGGGCTTCCGATATCTGAGAGTTCCACGGTTTTTGAGGGTAAAGTAGTTTTCACAGTTGTAGTGGCCATGGGGATGTATATCACCCTTTCTGGATTGCCGTTGCCATCGTCGAGCCCAACGGAGACAGAGAGAGCCGCAGCCAAAGCCTCGTGAGCGATATCCTTCGAAGGAAAGTACATGCGATGCGCCGGCGACTTCGGATCTAAGCGATGTAGGTCGATACCAACCTCTTTCATCGAGGCATTCAAGAGCAAGGGAGAACCAGCTGACTTCACAGCGTCAACCTTCTTTGTAAGACTGACGAAGCTCACTGCAAACTGCACTTCCTTAACCCCCCGAAGAATAGAGCTCACGAATTCCTTAGAATCAGACACCGTCTGCATCAACTCCTGATCGGTACTGCCAGGCGTCTCAATTTCTTGGATAACCTTATCAACCGACACCTCGATGGATTCAACGTTTCTATACGTGGGCGGATATTGGCGCTTGGACTTTTGAAAACGATCGATACAACTCCGAACATCGTCATAGGGGACATGTACCCTGCCAAGCTTCAAGGCAATGGCGGCATCCCGGAGTCCATCAAGCTGATCGTAGAGAAATCCGTGTACATTCAGCGTAGCACTATCCAAGACCTCAATGGCTTCGGCGCCGCCCTTATCGGTGAACAAGACACTTCGTAAAGTAACAATCCATTCGGCAGAATGTTGCTGGCGCTGCTTATCGGATCTGGTCTGGAAGAAGAAACGTGCGCGATCGACCATGCGATTCCTAGTGTCTAGTGCAATAGTGAAGCTGCCAAATTGAACTTTTCCAGCGTCCACAATGTTGAGCGTTGAATCGGTAGCCACGAGGTCAACCAAACGAATCCAACGAACATTTCGGTGCAATTTCTTGATTCTATCTTTGATTACCATGAGTTGTTTCCAAGTAGCGCTACGAGCGGTCTCGAACTTAACCCGCTTAGGGAGCTTGTTCTTAGGTGGAGTCTCCGTAGACTGTGATCCTCGGCTATTATCATCTTCGCTTTCGCTCTCGCTCGAATCGATTCCGGATTTCTTCAGACCCTCGAGTACCTTAATATCTAAAGTTACAGTGAGTTCGCTTACGACTATACTAAGCCACGTAGGCTGGGAGAATGTCGGGCGATGAAGATTAAGTCCGAGACCTCGGATCTCAACCTTGACGCCATCCTTGGGGGTATAAGCTAATCGGCGTAGGGACAGATATCCTATTCGCTGTATGGAAATACCGGTAACTATTCGAAGGACCGCAAAGAGGACAAAGGACGAGAGGTAGATGACGACGAAGACGCCGAATACGAAGGTTGGATTAAAGAGTGCCATGGCGATGACGCCTCAAGCACGGCGCGCTTCCCGCGTTGCTGGCTTGCGAGTAGGATATCAGCATAACTCAACAGGTAACAATATCAATGTTCTCTTTCACTCTTACAATGTCGCGTCAAATGCTTCCGTCCGCCTCATCATCCGAGTATCAGGCTCTGGTCCATCTCGTTACTTTCGTTGCTTATTAGGGTACGTATGGCGTTAAGACACGAATTAGCTTTGTTCCCCTACGCTCGCCCTTGTAATATTTGTACTGGATTATGAGGTTCGTGCGTAGGTGGATCTCCAAACAGCTATTAGCCAACTAGGCAATGGCTCGAGCTGTCTGTAATTGACAGAGCTATATTGTTGGATAAAAGGCAACAAATCGACAGGAGAAGAGTTGTGTCTGATAGGGAGGAATTAGTAAGGGCATGCACGTCACAATGCAGCCGCATTGGTGGAATCCTTGCGCTAACCGTTATAAGTGTCTTGTATTAATAACGGCGGTAATAGCCCTGGAGCTCCTTCCCTCCCTCCCTAGATAGCTCCTTGGTAGGTACCTAGGCAGGCGGTACCCAGATAAAAACCCTTGAAATATCCTGGTAACTGCCAAATAATTCAAGTACCTGTCTTAGTAGCCACAAACATGAGATTTCAAAACTCAACAGTTTTACAATTAGCGTGTATATCTAAGTTTATTGATTACATCGTTATGAGGAAGTATGATATAAAATGAGCAAACTTCGGTTACTCCCGTCCCGCAGTTTCCGCGACTCGATTTGATCAGTGGAGCCGTCCATCCCAATATGTTACAAGCCTAGGACTCATTTCAGTTTGACCCCTTCAGCCTCTTAAAACTTAAGTCGGTCAATTCTCAAGAGTGGCAAAGTCAACTTTGCGGCGTACTGCATGTTGCGTGCTGCGTGCTGCGTGAGCGTATAATTATAGACCAACTCACAATAATTATACATTCTTGTCAATTCCCCCATATTCCCTGGAGGATTATCCTTCATGTATTACCTAAACCCATACCGGCCATACCGTCTTAACTCCTCGCATGCTTCCAATGACAGGTCCCGACTCCTAAAAGCAAATGCAAATTACCCACTCGATTCTGGTCTAGACGACTTGTTATGCTATAGTTTTGACCGAACCGCCTCTAGTCTATATTTGACATCTTTGAGCGCCTTGTTGGTTGGCGACCAATCATCAAATTGCTTTAGCAGCTCGGTAGTCTCCGAGTATAATTCTGTCTTGACAAATTCTTCTTCTAGTAGCCCACGCATAATCCAAGGTAATAAAAAAGGGTTGGGATTCACCAGTTTTTCTGGTTTCTGAATCCGACAAGGAACACCGGACACATTCGTTGTTTCTAGAGCATGGGATATTGCCAGACTGTTATTCGTATCAGCAACCCTTACTTATACAATCGGTTCAGTGCCATCCTCCAAAACTTACTCGTAAACTTGTTCATCGTCATAGAGTCGCGAGTGACCCTCTCCGGAGTAGAGACTTCCGGCAAGTGGGATTGAGAGCTCGCGGATAAGTCCGTGGTCAGATATTCCCAGGTTCCGTAGTTTCAGAGCAAATCCGACTAGATGGGCAATAAAATCAGGGGCATGAACACGCCCATCTATGAACACGGCGCGATAAATGTAAGGGTGCGAAGCAGGCGTATAGATCGCCGATTCCATTGGAACAAGTTGATCGTCGATACTACCAATGTACTATAACACTTAGCATCCGTTAAGAAAAAACGATTACTAGGTAGATATATTACTCACAGTGAGACGTGCGCCATAAGCCACAACAACCTCGAGAGCATGCTGGTATCTCTTTGATATTTCGCTCTCAGGGTCGGCAAACTGCCATAGCTCGGCGGCAGAACCCATCAGCACTATAATATCGTAGGTTAGTAATTGTCGTTTATAAGATTTGGCAACTAGCTTTGATTGTAGCCAATACTAAAGGGGGCATTTATGGCTCTAGGGACTTCTTACTACCCATGCCGGATTTATAGTCGGGGAAAGGACCAAGCGAAACGCCGGCTAGATGACAAACGTCAGTAACAAGTAGGTATTGTTAGCTACGGATGATTTGTTTACTCACCCATAGCGCATATGCCAATTTTAGATTTAGTTATGATTCCTAGATCGATGAGTTTCTCAAGGAGCATCAGACCAACGGGGACTCCTTGCGAATGACAGGCTAGAACGATAAGATCGGCGGCGCGAATATGTTCTATCCAGTTTAGAAGAAGCTTCCAAAGATTATCGACTCTTTCTGCGATCTTGCCCTCTCCTTCAAGAGCAATCTTCTCGATCTCGCACTCGTCACACCCATGGCTCCCTGTCCATCTACGTATGGCCTCAGCACAATGATTTGCGAATCGGATGGATGTGCCTGTCGGCTGCCCAATCATCGGTCGTAGATACGAAGCAGGGAAAAGACCATCTATGATGCGTTAGTATCTCATACAATGTGAGAAAGGCTCACTATTTATTGTGCATTTTAACTACGCGGAGGGAAAGTGAGAGTAGTCGGAGACATACTACGATTATATTAGCCTCTATTCACCAGCAAAAGTTAGATAACGTGCAGGATGTATTAATACGTACCGTATACCAATTGCGACAGCCTTCTTAATTTTTGGCGGTTCTTTAACGAGGAATACATGGTTCGTGGGGGGTTGCTGTGTCCGCAGGAGTAATTGTGTAATTTGCCTGATGATTGACGGATTGTTTTTCATATGATATGTATTACGAAAAGATGGCAGAAGCAAATTTTGTGTAGAGGACTTGCTCGAACCTGGTGTAGCTGGTTTTGCTGGAGCCGTCTTCGTGGAAATGTCTGATTGGGGCGTGCCTGGCCTTGATAACGGCTCATCGATGTCTAGAGATTGGGGTCGCCCCCTCTTGTTTCTCTTGATCGACTCTACCCGAAGTGGCGCTTCTTTCAAGGCCTTCGAGCCCTTAATCGAAGGCTCTTTCGCAGATGTGCTGTTTCCGTTAACCTCGGGACTGGTCGACTGTCGTGGGTTGGCCTCTGAACCATCGCCGATGATAGCCAACTCGCCAGCCTCGTTCGCGGTCGTCTTTTTCGTGTCATTCTTTTGACTTGTATCTCTTGACCAGAAAGCCCACGTTGAACTAGTAGGTGGTTGGCTTGGTTCTGTCGGCTTCGAAGGTGGGGCATCCTCCATCACTACATCCGGAGTTTCCAAAGCGGACTTCTGAGCTGAGCTAGTTTCAGCCGTTGTTTGTGCAGAATCTTCTGGTATCGTAGGTGTTGTCGAATACCAATATCCGAACCATGAGCTTGTAGGCTTAAGAGGTTGAATAGGCTCAATAGAGACTTGGCTGGGCTCCGAGGGTTGTTGAGCAATGTTGATCTGCACGTTTTCGGGCTCTACACTCTCAGGTTCTTTGGGAGGATCGATGTCCATTTTGTCGTCGTTAGGTATAGCTACACCCGGTGCTGAAGGCCTACCGAACCATCCCCCCAACCAGCCAGAAGAGTTCGGAGGTTGTTGCAGCGTTTCTATCGGGGGCTCAATAGTACTATTGTTTGTAGTCGTGTTTAGGCCCTCTTGATCTTTTACCAGGTCCTTCGGGACATCATTTCCATTATTCGCATCAGAAGCACCAGCATTACTTGTTTCCTGTGGCTTCATGGATTTCGTATCATCTTGTTTGGATTCGGTACCTGTTTCGGAAATCTTAGGCAAGGTTTTGATGGATTGACTATCTGACTCGCTATTATCATTGTCTTTCTTGGACTCAAAGCGGCTGAAATCTGGAGATGCACGAGGACGTAAAGTTCCGCCCATGATATTCTGATGTGAGACTTGGGTCGAAGCAGACGACTTAGGCACTCGTGGCCAAGAACCATACCAGCTCCGGGACTTGCGCACCTACAGCATTACACACTTAGGTCAGTAACAAATTTCACGATATGATATAGCTGAGGCTAGGCAAGTAGATGATCTAGTAGGTTGCAGACCTGCTTTATGTCATTGGATTTTGTGGATGTAGATGCATCCGACCCATCTCCCTTCATGGATTGCATAGAACGGCCTGGAGCTGCGGATGCCTGTGACGCAACACTGCCGCTGGCCTGTGATCGTAAAGTCGCAGGCAAACTAACATCACTATGTTCTTTAATAGAGGGATTCGGTTTTGCGCGCTTGCGGGGACTCATAGTTCACCATGTAAACTCCGAGTGATCAACTCCATAGACGGAATAATTTGTTACTGTGAGAAATTGTTGACTTAAAGGCGTCGCAGCCGGACTGTTAACGTCAGGAGTAAACCTTATCTGGGTACCTATGCCTCGGAAGCAACAGCTACCTACACTACAGCGAACACGTTGAGACCCGCGGTCCTTGTAAACCATAACAAACCTCCAATGGAGAACGACAAAGGGTGGATTCAGCGGGGTGCTGTTGACCCACAAGCCCCTCTAACCATGTAACTAAAGCACACTAATAACTCTTGTGAAGAAATGTACCTAGGTACTTCGTGGCATCAATCTGTACATGCATGTACATGTACCTGGAACTGTACTAGGCTTATCGATTATCGATAATCACTACCGCGAAAAAAAAGTTGTCTGGGCAGACAATTGAATGCAACAACTTCCAAGTGGGATCAAAACTAAAATTTCAAGCAATTGCAAGGCCCTCCGCCGACGGGCAAAAAAATAAATTGGCAAATTGCTTTACGATCATGGGTTCCCTGAAAAGAAAAGACGCCCCTGGGGCATCGTCAACTTCAAAGGCTCCCAAAGCGCAAGGCGACTCTCGACCGTCAAAACGACCGAAACCCGAGAAAACCTCTGCTAAGGATGATGCGAAATCGAGCTCGAATTCGAAACCAGCCAAACCATCCGCGGTCTCGCGATTAAAGGAGGAAGAGCCCCTATTTCCTCGCGGAGGTGGAAGTGTGCTCACTCCTCTTGAACATAAGCAGATCTCAATCCAGGCAAAGCAGGATGTTCTTTTCGAACAAGAATCGGGACAAGGCACAGTAAAACCTGATCGAGCTTCCAAGAAGAAGAAGGTTAAGGTATCTAAGGACGGGAAATCTGGAAAACACCAGAGTGACGAAAGCGCAAAGATAGAGAGTCTCAACTATAAGCGACTAGTCAAGGGCTCTCTGGTCCTCGGCCAAGTTTCCGCAATCCATCCATTGGAAGTTGTCCTCACTCTGCCAAGTAATCTCTCTGGCCATGTACCGATCACTGCCATCTCAGACGTTTTAAACGAGAGAATAGCGGCCGAAACGGCTGATGTAGAGGCAGAAGATGACGAGGAAGACGCGGATGACAATGATATTGATCTGAAAACCATTTTCAGAGTTGGCCAGTATCTCCGTGCCTACGTCACGTCAACTATCGAAGAATCAACCGCCCTTTCTGCTAAACCAAGGAAACACATCGAATTATCGTTACGTCCTACTCTCGCTAATACAGGCCTATCCAGCCAAGATGTTATCGCGAACTGCACGGTCATGGCGACGGTTGTTAGTGCCGAGGATCATGGGTTTGTCATGGATTTTGGACTTCCTGACTCAGGTATCCGAGGATTTCTGCCTCGAAAGGAGTTGGCTGAGGATATATCCGACTCGCAGATGCAACCCGGAGGTGTTATCCTATGTATGGTAACAGGGAAGAGCGCCAAGGGCAAGGTTGCACAATTGACTACTCTCCCAAAGAAGATTGGCAAGGTTCAAAACTTTGCATCAGAAGCTACTACGATCAATGCATTCCTACCAGGATCTGCCGTAGAATTTATGGTATCCGAGATCGCTAATCGCGGAATACTGGGCAAGGTTATGGGATCATTGGATGTCACGGCAGATTTAATCCATTCGGGTCTTGGTCCCAACGCTTTGGATTTGGAGTCTAAATACAAGGTCGGAAAGAAATATAAGGCTCGTGTCATCTGCAACTTTCCAACTGCCAAGGACCCAAAATTAGGCATTTCTCTTCTGGACCACGTGGTATCCCTACAATCGAAGTTGGCCTCCACAGATAAACTCCCCACGGACGTTCTTCCAACATCAGCAATAGTAGAAGAATGTACTGTCACCAAAGTCGAACCAGAAATCGGCCTGTTTCTAGATGTGGGTGTCGAAGGAGTGCCCGGATTTGTCCATGTCTCTAGAATCAAGGATGGCAAGGTTGATATGCTGTCCGAATCTTCAGGTCCTTTCAAAACGGGCTCCGTACACCGCGGCCGAGTGATTAGTTACAACGCCATCGACGGCATATTCAACTTATCATTCGAGAAACATATTCTTGAACAGCCATTCTTGCGAATCGAAGATATTCCCGTCGGCGAGATTGTCAATGGGGAGATTGAGAAGATATTAATTAACCAAGATGGCGTTAGCGGCGTGCTCGTCAAGCTTGCTGAGGGTATCGTTGGATATGTCTCGGAAATGCACCTAGCGGACGTTCGGCTACAGCACCCGGAAAAGAAATTTCGAGAGGGCCTTAAGGTCAAAGCTCGAGTGCTTTCAGTTAATCCCGCTAAGCGACGAGTTAGGCTCACTCTAAAGAAGACGCTTGTAAATTCCGAGGCAATCCCCTTGAAGTCTTTCGACGAAGTCACTGTGGGCATGCAGGTCCCAGGCATAATCACCAAGGTAATCAAAAATGGTGCTATCATACAGTTCTATGGCACCCTTAGGGGATTTTTGCCAATTTCGGAGATGAGCGAGGCCTATATTCAAGACCCGAGTGACCACTTCCGAGCTGGCCAGGTTGTCAGTGTTCATGTCTTAAATTTCGATGCTGAGGCGCGGAAACTCTTCGTCTCTTGCAAAGACCCATCTGCTTTTGGCCTCGACAAACAAAATGCTCTTAGGAAACTCCGGCTCGGAGATGTTGTCTCTGCTAAGGTTGTGCAAAAGACCGAGGATGATGTTTTGGTTGAATTGGTCGACAGCTCATTAAAAGCTATGATATCAAAATGGCATCTCGCTGATCGTCCAAACAAGTGCCAAGCTGCCTTGAAACGCGTCCATGTCGGGCAAACCCTCAAAGACCTTGTGGTCCTAGAGAAAAACGAGGGCCGTCGGTTTATAGCGCTTTCCAAGAAACCGAGCTTCGTCAAGGCTGGTCAAGAAGGCAAGCTTCTTACTTCCCTAAAGGAGGCCAAGGTCGACGAACTTCGACAGGGTTTCGTTATAAATATTACTCCCACAGCAGCCTTCATTCAGTTTTGTGGACGACTCATCGCTTTACTACCAAAGTCGAAATTTCCGCAAGAAGATCAAACTAAGACGGACTTTGGGCTTCAAAAATATGAATCAATCGCTGTTAAGATACATTCTATCGACACGGACCACAACAGATTTGTTGTTGCTTCATCTTCGTTTGAAGAAAGCGATGCGAAAAACGGCGCGACCTCTACTCCGGCGGATAAACTTGAAAACCCAATAGATCAGACCATTTCGTCGATGGATGATATTGTCGTCGGGAAAGTCACCGAGGCTAAGATTGTATCAATCAGAAGTACACAACTCAACGTCAAGCTTTCGGACAACGTACAAGGGCGTGTAGATGTCTCTCAAGTCTTTGACACCTGGGATAAGATATTACATCAGAAATCGCCATTGGATGTTTTCCATGCGAACGATACAATCAAAGTTCGGGTTCTGGGTGTTCACGATGCCAGAAACCACCGGTTCTTACCTATATCACATCGATCAACTCGCTCAATTCTTGAATTATCTGCTAAACCACGCGATCTAAAGGGCAATACCCCTCAAGTCTTGTCATACGACAAACTAGAACCAGGCTCTTCTCATATTGGTTTCGTCAACAATAATGCCGAGAAGAATGCTCTCTGGGTAACACTCTCGCCTGGTGTCCGAGGTAGGATCAGCAACCTGGAAATATCTGATGATGTATCCCAACTTGAGAATCTTGCGACAAGCTTCCCGATAGGGTCGGCATTGCGGGTTCGCGTTCTCGCAGTTAATGCCGCTGAGAGCCGTCTTGACCTCTCGGCACGTTCTGCGAGTTCTTCGCCGAATCTCACTTGGAAGTCTATCAAGCAGAATATGGTACTTCCTAGTCGAGTCACAAAAGTCAATGAGCGACAGGTTATTGTACAGCTGAATGATGTGATTTCTGGCCCGGTCCATTTGATAGACCTTGGTGATGATTATAGCCAAGCAAACACATTATCCTACAATAAGAACGACGTCATCAGAGTTTCGGTTGTTGAGGTTGATAAAAGCAACAAGAAACTCCGACTTTCGGCTCGTCCCTCTAGAGTGTTGAACTCCTCGCTACCCATTAAGGACCGCGAGATTACTCAAGCATCCCAGATAAAAACCGGGGATATCATCCGAGGTTTTGTGAAGAATGTTTCCGATAAAGGGCTGTTCGTGGGTCTAGGTGGAAATGTGACAGCAATGGTTAGGATTTCCGATCTTTCGGATAAATTCCTCAAGGACTGGAAAGACGAGTACCAAGTCGATCAGCTCGTCAAAGGCCGAATAATCTCGGTCGACTCTACCACGGGCCACATACAGATGAGTCTCAAAGCCTCAGTCGTCGACAAGGACTTTGTACCGACCATCAATTACTCGGATCTTAGTGAAGGCCAGATCGTTACAGGAACTGTCCGAAAAGTAGAGGATTTCGGTGCATTTATCGTCATTGAGAACTCCGCGAATGTTAGCGGATTATGCCACCGTAGCGAGATGGCTGAGAAATCCGTCGAAGACGCCCGAAAACTTTTCAGCGAGGGAGATGTGGTCAAAGCTATCATCTTGAAGCTTGACAAGCAAAAGAAGCGAATTAACTTCGGCCTAAAACCATCTTACTTCGAGGGGGATATGGATGTCGACGACAGTGACGAAGATGATGATGCTGGTGTTACACTTCTGAGCGACGATGACGATGACGAAGCGGACGATGATGACGAGATGGAAGATGCCGGTGTTTCTATTATTCTTAAAGGGGCTGAAAATGATTCAGATGAATCATCCGATGATGAGGATACTGAGATGATAGATCGAGACACTGACGAAGTTGCTCCTCTCGAAGTTGGTGGTTTCGATTGGTCTGCCGGCGCTCTTGACAAGACGGACGCAGCGGACGAAGACACAGATAATGATGCGAGCGCATCGCAGAAGAAAAAGAAGAAGAAGCGGAGCAAGCCACAGATCGAAGTGGACAAGAGCGGCGACTTAGATGCTTTTGGTCCCAGGACAGCTGTTGACTATGAGCAACTTCTCAATCGTCAACCCAACTCCTCCGCATTATGGATCGAGTACATGGCACATCAGATGCAAGTCAGTGAGCCCGCCAAGGCTCGCGAAGTAGCCGAACGTGCCGTTTCGACCATAAGCAGCACTGAGGAAACCGAGAAACTCAACGCCTGGATCGCCTACCTCAATCTTGAGGTGCGCTTCGGTAACGATGACAGCGTCGAAGAGGTCTTCAAGCGTGCCTGCCAGGTCAATGACCAGCAGGAGGTCCACCAACGCCTAGCCAGCATTTACATCCAAGAGGACAAGACCTCGGTAAGCCTTAACTCACAGACCCCCTATGACCACGTAATTCCCTACTAACAACCGCACAGAAAGCAGACGACCTCTTCCAAACCCTCGTCAAGAAATTCGGCGCCTCGTCCCCCGAAGTCTGGTACAACTACGCGCACTGGCTCCACTCAATCCGCAACCAACCCGAACGCGCGCGCGCCCTCCTCCCCCGCGCCACCCAAGCGCTCCCGAACCACGCCCGCTTCGCCCTCATGACCAAGTTCGCCGCACTAGAATTCGTCTCCACACACCCGAACCCCGAGCTCGGGCGCACCATGTTCGAGGGTCTCCTATCCACCTTCCCCAAACGCATCGACCTCTGGAACCAGCTCCTCGACCACGAAGACGCCGTCCCAGTCGATAACTCCAAAGCCAGCATCACCAACAAAAAAGCCGCCGTCCGCGACGTCTTCGACCGCGCGACGAAGGTAAAGGGATTAAAAGCCCGAGCTGCGAAGAAGTGGTTCAAGCGCTGGGCGGATTGGGAGGAGAAGAATGGTGATGCGAAGAGTCGGGCGAAGGTTAGTGCTAAAGCTGCGGAGTGGGTTAAGGCGAAGGCGGAGGCTAAGGAGAGGAAGGAGAGGGAGAAAGAGGATGAGGAAGGGAGTGATAGCGATGATGAGTAGGTAGGTAGATAATTGCATAGGTCTAATGGTGGTGGCCTTGCGGTCAAGTGTATACCTAGGTTAGGCGTATAAAAAATTCACATCAGTTTTAGCATCTACAATTTCGCCGTCTACGTATTTTTACTCACGAATCCAAAAAGCTCTGGTAAAATAAACCAGTAATTCTGGGATCGAGACACATACGAACGGGAACACTCGACATTCAATCAAATCCGTACGATTTCTAACATTGATGCAATACCATGCCTATGTACGTACACACACTCTTGCATTTACTCTTGCTTTTGGTATTTCCCCCTCCAATCCAGCCACTCCAAAAACGCCCAACCGTATATGTGGAAGGATGGGATATGCCAGAACAGAACAAGCCACCACCCCCTCCCTAATTTCCCTCAACCAACAGACGGATACCCCAAATCCGAAGCCAGATGGCGTGTATGACAAGACCCTAAACAGTGAAAAAATACGGGAGGTTGGGTGGTTGGTAGGTAGGTAATAGTACATCGACAGGTCTGTTGTTTAAAAAGCAAAAGTGCAAGAAGAAAAAGGTTATCGGCCTTCAATGCCATCCGCCTGCCCCTCCCAAATATGCAAGAGCCCCTCCATTTCGATCCCCCAAATGCGTGTGTGATGATGATGATGAGATATTGAAATGGTGTATCGAGAGTCATGTCGCGTTCATATTGATACAAAAAAGGAGTTTCGATCCACGCCGGAAGGCAGGTATATCTCGATAATCCAGTATTTTCCCTTTTCGCCTTCTAATTTGTCTGGGTGGGTTAAAACTATAATGACGCCATGTAAGCCTTTGCCGTTATCTTTTCTAGCTCAGCCGGGTCGCTGATGCTTCTCTGCCGTTCCGTCCTTTGCTCGTCCCCGGAGCTGCTTGCGGATTCGTCGCTGCTGTCTTCGCCGAATACGACATGTCTCAGGACGCTCTTGTCGAACAATTCGATTACTAAGTGGCGGTCTGGTAATCTGAAGTGGTGACATTCCATCATCGCCATGACCTTACGGAACAACGCAGGTTGTCGGAACCCTGGAGCTTTCTTATGTCGTAGCTGGAATAGCTCGGCTTTGGCTTTTCTATAGAGAACCATATTCCCTAGCTCAGTCATAAGTTCCAATATTCGCTGGTTGGTCTCGTCTTCCTCCTTAATTTCGACGGGCGGGAACTCCAATATCGTTTTCTGGGTGTCTGGGAGTTTAATGGTTGCAGGGATCTCATGTTTCCAAGGTTTACATGAAAACAGCTTCGAGAGATTCGAGGGAACGCAGAGGCCTAATGAAATTCCCAGAGGTGTGGTGCATGATTCCCAGCCATGTTCGGAAAGTATTTCTAGTCCGTGCGTAGACCTCGATATCAAGCCCAAGACGAAGAAAGCAGTACCTCGAAGACTAAAAACGTCGTGAGACTCGGCGATCTTAATGATGTGTTCCACAACATCGGTAGATTCTAGGAATGGCGCTCCAAGTTCCATAGAACCGACATTTCCCACCGCCCACAAGCACCCCTTAACCTTTGTTATAAGTTCAGGGTCTTCCGATTGCATTCCGTATTCCCTAATCGTCATCGCGAACTCTTCGAAGTGGCCCTTATCCTCAAGCAATTTGCATCCTTCTTTAGTGCGCGACAACTCACGGTAGAAATGCGGTGGGACGTGGTTATCTTGGTCTGTGTCTAAGTCATCCTCGTAAATGCTGAGGCGATGCGGTTGGTCTTCTTGGGGGTCGGTGAAGGAACGAGCTAGACTTGCTTCGATGAGCCCAACATAAGTATCATTACGTCCGAGAAACCAGTCGTCCATCTCATTGCTGATATAATCCAACCCATCCAAATAGTGGTAGCCGATAGAAGTCGATAAAAATCGGAGCAACAAGGGAGCTCCTATCTCGCCAAGGTGGTCCAATGCAGGACGACATTCCACTATATATTCCAACAGGGCTTTGTTGTTGCAAGCCTTCTCCAAAATTTTGACAGACGTGGCACAAACCTCTACATCCGGATCATAAAGTTGTGTGACAAGTAATTGGATCGCCCACTTCGAGTCCGAAACGATCTGACCGGTTGGTGTAACTCGTTGCCTCGTCGCATACTTCCTAAGTATGGTAGTAGCGTGAATTCGCATGTCTTTTGTACCGGCCGTCAGGGCTTTTGACAAAAGCACACGTGGATGACCCTGGAGACTGTAATCGAGAGTAGCGAGAAGTAATTTGATGAGATCCGGCCTCTGCTTGAAGTCGACAATATGATACATCATGTTGAATATTCGCCATCTCTCAAGCATCTGGAGCCCTCTATGATCACTGCTAAGAGCGCCAATGATAGGGAAGTAGCCGCCACACAACGTATCAGTGAGACGGTCTCTCGAGAACATTGGATATTGGGCGGTTAAACCACTGGTCTGTAAATATAATAAGTAAATATTTTCTTGGCAATTTCAATATGGGTATTCTTACCGGATCGCACTGAGCTAAGCACTCCGCGATCTGTCTCAGTAGTTTATTATCCGACAGATATTTTGTCCCTTCTGCCGTCTGCAGTAAGGTCTGAATCAGAGCGCAACCAACCCTAACATATTTCTGAGTATTTCGTGTACTCTTTATCTCCGAGAATTTGAACTTAAAAGGCCGGTAGAAGCCAACAAGCCTTTTCGCAAATTTCGACGCCTTAATAGCCTCTTCTACACGCTTGCCGTTGAGTAATGGTCCTTCAATTATCCTCTGAATAACATCCCAATTCCACTTAGAAGGGTTTGAATGTCCGAGAACTCCTGAATCTATCAGCAATTGACGGAATGTAGCATCATCAGCGTTGACCACGAGGTTAGGTTTAGGCGTCTCTTCTACATGGCTCATATTTTCAAGCATGCTACTTGAAGGAAGGTAGCCGGCGTGATAACTTGACGGAGATGATCGGTAAAGTGTTCGACTAACACTACTAATCTGATAAACAATTCCGGTCGCAGTAAAATGCGCCTCATTCTGGAATTGAGAGGCAGCCGCGAATAGCTCTGGAAGTAACTGAAGCTCGCTACTCCAAGAAGCTGGGAGGATTCTGCTGGCTAATTTCAGAGTCTCACCGATGAGTAGAGTAGTTTTTCTCTTCAACGTAGGATCGTCGGTATCCTGAGCGACGAGGAGCAGGTTAGGCATCATCCCAGCCTTGATGAAGATAGCTAACAGCAGCGCCGTATAATGTTCCACGAAATTCTGGTCTGTGCCGTCATCTTCATAAACAGCTTCTTCCTTATGAGAAGTAGAGCTCTTTAGTGTCGTTACCCTGCCATATGTCGTTAATCGCCGACCGGCAAGGTATGACGTAGCCCATGCCGGAGGTTTTATTCGGAGTAGGGAATAGAGCAACTCTATTATAAGATCCCGAAGTGTCGGATTGGGTAACATTAGGCTTGATATCAGGGAGCCAATCGCTCGAAAGTTGTACATTGATAGTGTCATGAGTCCAGGCCAACTTTTCAGAGCTGATGAGATGGCTTTCGAATTCTGCTTTACAACGCCTTCGTAAGTGAATAATGCGTCTGTAAACGCTGTAAATAATACCTCTAGTTCGTATCCAGCTCGTAGGTATTTTCGCGTATGCGGCGAATCCATCAAGTAAAGAAAAACTGAGGAGAGTGATTCTGGTGACTTGTAAGTCCCTTCAGCAAGGGACTCTGAAAGTGGTACCAGGCCACCGGACGCTACAAGCAGTGCGGGATCTCGTAAGAGAATTTCAGCGAGGGTTTCGATACAAATCGGCCGTAACCGATCTTCCACCTGTTCGGCAACTGCCGCGATAGTCCTGACTACCGCCCTAGACACTTCGCGAACGCCATCCTTCACGTCTAGAAAGGCGCGAACGAACTTGAGAGCCTGCTCGCGTTCGACATCAGCCTTGCGATCCTTGGCGAGAGATACAACCACCATAAAATCGGTATTTAGACCGCGGATTTTCTTGATGGACGCCATGTCGGAAATAGAATATCGTAGCATTCGATAGCCTGCCGCGACAACTTCCCTGCTATTGCTGAGCAGCATGACCTGCATTCGGTCTCCAAAGACGGACCACACCAGATCATATTTCAAGGTAGGGTATCTTTTGAATAGATCCACGAAATTGTTGGCGCGTTCAACATAGTATTCTGCAGTCATGCCCTCGACCTCTAGGGCTTGCAATACCTCGGCGAGCGCAAAAGTGGGGGATTCTGTTGGTTCTTCGATCTCCGATCCGGCGCCACTCCTGGATGCGCTCGGTGGTGATCGCACGGTGTTGTTAAGTAAACCTTCGTTACGGATTCTAGTAGGCGTACTAGGCACCACCTTAGGCCGTTGCGTATCGGCGAGTCTCTGCCTCAGTTCTTTTATCCTTGTGTTTGAAGCCGTGAGCTCAGCTTCTACCCTCTGGCGTTGCTCCTTAGTCTGTTTCGCTTTCTTAGCATTTAAAGCCTCTAGCATATTCTCGCTCCCCTCCTTAATCTTCATCTCACGGCTAAGGGAATCCTTGAGCGCATTGATTGTATTCTCGGTCATTGACTCGTCATCCTCGTCCAGCTTATCGCGTACATAAGTATCTGCTCTGGAACCAGCTCTTGACTGGATATTTTGGCTGCGTAGATCGGAGCTAAAACTGCCCGGGGGCTGCGAAGGGTTCAAGGAAGACCCTCTCGGGGCATAGGAGGAGGCTGCAGAAGCAGCAAGGGATCGGGCACCATTGGTTGCGGCGCCGGGTGGTTGAAGGCCGCCATCTCGATCGAGGCTCGGTCGCGAGGCAGCTATTGGGGAATTAGTTGCCTGCGTCGGTTGGGAGGCCAACGACTTCTGAGTCGGTGTCGCTGAGCTGCTCAGCATGGTGGAAGACCCAACCATATGCCCACCGTTTGGGTCAAGTCCGCAGCGCCGTTCATGAGAGGAGAGAGCGTCTTGTTAGGCAGTGGTGAGTTCTTAGGTTCTTGGGTTCTTAGGTTCGTGTTGTATCGTGACAAGTAACGAACGGGAGGGTTTGAGGTAACGGCGTATTAGAAAAGGGTGGTTAATCTAGACAATCAAAAAGTGACTCTCAGTATAAATCTGACAAAGGCGCAAAAGAAATAACTAGCAGCGATTGAGGAGGCACGGCCGGCCGATGTTCGTTGTCGTATCTCGTAAAAGCGTTGAGGTTTCTAAGTTATGTCTGTATCCGTTCCGTACTGTAACTTTAGCTCTGAGGCCTGCTGCTGTTTTAGTGTTTTAGCGCTAAAAGGCCCACACGATGGCGGGTCGGATAGTGCCAAGACAGAAAGAACAAGCAAGGGTATAGGACGAAGTGTGGAGCACAAATAGAGGGCAGCAACGCGACTGGACCTTTCCCCAACTAAATGGAACCTTGGAACTTCCACGATATCTTCTGAGAGTTCTATTATGATAAGCATATCGTCCCTTTCTTAAAATAAAGTAATTTCTACGATTTCTAAAGAAAGGAAGTCAGAACCTAAGTTTATCCGTTATTTACATAGATCAATGACTGGCATAAATGGGTACCTCTCCTATGTACAATTTTATGGAGTCTAAATCTTTCGGATTAGGTAAACATTCTCAAAGTTAAACTCTGCCCTACATAGGTCTTAGGGCTATCATAGGCGTTCTCTCTAGCCTAGGGCTGCATCTCATAGCCCTGGAGATCTTCGATAACTCCCTATTGGTCGGTCAGTGATGCATACGTGCCAGGTATAGGCTATCACATACGATCGGGATACCTGTCAAGTTACTAAGAACTTCTTGAGCATTACTATTTCTAGGTACATATCTTTTCAACCCCTTTAAAATAAAGCGATTATATCAAGTACCGGTTCTTAGAAAGCAAATACTAAGCTTCGATATTGAAGCTTTCACAAATCAACTTTTGCGGAGCTTTACCTCGAAGCCACCTTGTACTAAAAAGGATGACGGTATGGTTATCAGTACATATACCAGAAGCGCTACAGTAAAACACTGGGCGGATATATATATATATACCTAGTAATGGCAACCGCTTAGTCAAACTATAAACAAGAAGGATATATAAAAAGACAGGCAGCACAATCTAGAATCATCTCACGATCAATTCTTGCTAGGGACGACATCCTCATACTTCTTTCCAACGCTAATCTCGTCAACCCACAGCGTTCGAGTTCCCTGAGATCCCTCCATCTTCTTGTCGTCGTGCCAGCCATTCGCGTATAGACCAGTGCGGAACTGGAATCCGTACTTCTTGCTGTTGTCATGGTAGGTCGTGATGATGTTGGATTCCTCAACCGCCTGCTTGCCGTCGAGCCAGACCTTGTAGTAGCCCGTTGCGTCGCTCCTCCACTTCGCCTGGAGCACGACCTGGTGCCAGTTACCCGGCTTGATCGTTCCGATCTTATACTTCTTCAGGGTGCTCTTGCACATGTTACCGCCCTTGCTGCGGATGTAGAGCTGGTCCTTCTCAATCCAGATCATGCCGGAGGGGATCCAGTCATCCTTGCACGTGTTCTCGGGCGAGTCTTTGAGGTTACTGATGAACTGCGCGATGTTGTAGGACTGTCCGTGGGAGGTGTCCCACTTCGGATCCAGCCTGAAGGCGAAGCCGTAGAATCCATCGTCGCCGACCCTATAGACGTCTTTCTTGTACACTTCCGAGTGGTATCTGCCGGTGTAGCCAGAGTCGTATATCTGAACCACCTTGATCGATGTGTCCGGCTTGTACGACTGATCCTTAACTTGAGTCACGGTGCCCTTGTGTTCGTGATTGACACCATCCCAACCAGATAAAGTTCCGTGGTTCTGGAAGGTCGGGGTGGTAGTTGGGGCAGCAAACATGCCCTGCACAAGAAGTGCGAATGCTGCGATCTTAGAAGCGTACATGACGACAAATGGGCTTTGGTACTTTCAGATGAAGTAAATGAATGTGGTAGAAGACAACCGTCGATGGTTCATCTTCACCTACCCCAGGTACTACAGCGCTTATATACCTAGAATCCTAGATGTCTATGCCGAGGAGACGACACGCCAAAGGGGAATTCAAGGACGATCGCGATTTCAGATATTAGGTGCTGATGCATCGCGGCACAGAGGCATCAGCAACGTCCTAGTCTGCCATGTTCAGGTGAATAGTCTCCAAGGACTTGACATGGCACCAAACCTCAGTTAGGAAATTTCACGAAATAGATTCAAAGGAGGAACCGGGTTGCGGGTCGCTGATGGTGAGGGATGTCAGCTCGAGATGCCTTATACCATGTAAATCATTTAACTCCAATCGTTCAGCCCTAACTAGTGCAAACATAAAGGCAAATAAGATTCCTAAACGCTCTTATTTAGGAAAAAGTCGATATATAATTCATTGAGACGAAACGGTGCTGGCGTCAGCAACTCGACATAAGCCGAACTTCATCAAACTTGCATGCCTTGTTCAGCCTCCACCATTCTATATTTAGTCATCATATATTGCTTGGTTAGATAACTTCATACCGATTCTTTAAAGGTAGCAAGTTGTAGACTTTGATATATTTATCGGCCTTTTCTCGATGAAGACAACCACTCGTCGTATTGAAATTTTGTTGAGCCTAGGAGGGTCGAAGATGAAGGCCTCGAAGCCCAGCACCATGACATACAGCGCTAAGTCCTTAGACATAGCATTCAACGTATGTTCGATGAAGTTCATCAAGTTGACTAGGAACTCGACCGTTCATCGGACCCGGACTTATGTATTTCCTGGGTGATGAATCGGGCGCAGAGCCTGATGCTCGGCTGTCTGTGCTGAACCGGTTCTGTCGTCTTCTTGGTGACTTATTACGTGTTCATCGGGCGATAATAGTCTGAGTACCGTACAAAGATCCGCAGCATCCAATTAACCGTTAATTCATCGTCAATTTATGGTTTGAAAAGTCAAACGTTTGGAAAAAAAGAAACCGCCGAGTGCGGGTTTTTTTATTTAATCGTTTATATTTTATATTAGTGTTTATTTCCTTTCGAAACGTTTGGAAATTCTAAACGTTTAATAGATATCCAAGTGTTCGATATGAAGCCTTCGATGTACCTAGACGGGAAGCTGCAGGAGCTAGCGGATAGGTGGATCCAACAAGCAAACGGGCTAGATCAGGTTGAATCATCTACCTAGCCTTCTACGTGGCCTCCTACGTATGTAGGAAGCTATCTACGATTTCTACGATTTCTACAACTGAAAGATTACCTACCTACATACCTACCTGCAAGAGCCGCAGTTGAGTTGAGCCTCAAGTCACTGGCAAATCGGATACCTGGTAGTCCTGGAGATCCTGGAGACGATCCTGGAGACGATCCTGGTATGTGTGAATAGACCTTTGAAGACTTCTTCAAAGACTTGGAGGTTTTGAAGATGAAGAAGAAGAAGAAGGATTGGAGGTAGGTGGGTGGGATCAAGGTCTTATATAGACTTAAGGTAGGTGGATTAGATCAAAACAACAAGATCAAAGTACTGAAAGGGTTACACACACCAGATCAGGGATTTCGAATATTTCAAGCTATCGCCAAACATTTATTTGAAAGAAACGTTGAACTTCTTTCCAAACGTTTGAAAATATATAACGTTTAAATGCGAGTAATCGTTTAACTTTATAAATATTTAAATAGCTAAGCGTTTATGAAATCAAACCATATATTTATGGTTTTAAGAAAAAGTATGCGTTAATTAAAATGGACCAATTTAGCAAAGTATGGGTATATTAGCTTAGCTAAGACGTATGAGATCCAGCTGAAGCGGCTTACCGTTCGCCCACAGGTTATTCGTCAGTTCTCAGTCAGATATCAGTTCCTTACCTCTCATCAACTCCGACTCGTCGAGACCCCTCTAATGACAGTTCCAGCTTTGTGCACTTTACGCGTGTAATCCTAGGTGTTCATCGAGGTTACCCCTCAACCTCAACGAATGATGACCTACATGGCTTTGGCTGGGCGAGTACGGAGTCATGGGTTGGTTATCTTGTCCTTGACGAATCCCTCCGAGCCTGTTGGAATGACATGATTTTACGTGGAGATGTCAAAGTTCGGAGTCCGGACGGTCTCTTATATTTCCTTCGGGGGGATAAAAGCCGTAGATAAAGATAAGAGCTGTGGCTTAGGTAAAGATTGGATCATTACCTAGGTACGTAGTAGTTACCCAGTCGTTCCTTCCGTAGAATTACCTAGTAACATAAGTATTTAGGTATGTATGTAAGTACCTCTTTATCGGCGGCCGATGAAATATCCATTAGATAGATTTTACATGATGTGTTCTGTAGCAAGCAAGGATAGCTGTGTACCGAATTCGGTAGGAGGTTAGAATTCGAAATAGGGACGTCGGCGGGCTCCGTAAGGTGTAACGAGCCGCTAAATTGATTGTCGAGTTATAATTGGAGAGAATTGGAGAAGCTTGCGGCAATCTTCGACGCTTTAGACCCATCCGGAGCTCGTTAACTGGGTCCATTTTACTGGGAAGTCCCCTCCTGTTTAATACCCGTCGCCGTTCTTGTACCACTAACATACCTCATCTTTACACAGTCGAGTACTTCTACCATCTACCTATTTTTCTAGTAAATGACAAGTACTCTGTAAGCCTCTTTTTTTCTCTCTTTCCCTTTTTCTTTCTCTTCCTATCGGTGAGCAGCGGACCTAGAACTCATTCTTGTACATATGCACCCGCTTCAGGCGCTTTCCGATCTGCAGAAGAGCCAAGCTACCGATTCCTAGCCATTTCTAGCCGTTCTTTAGGACCCTGATTTCATGTATTGGGTTGGGTCAGGTATTGGATGTAGGTATTGGCGTCTTTACGTCCGTCTGTCACGCCCCTGCGTCCTCGCGTCCCCATCCGAACCATGATTAGGTTGAGTACCTATATGCAGCTCGATTCGGGGTGGAGGGTCGGTAGTAGCTTCGTTGGTAACTTGGTGACTTCGATTCGAGAAAAGCTATCTCCAACTTAGAGACCTAGAGACCTAAAGGTCCGAGGTACATGGATCCAATACAATGTAAAGTGCCAGGTGTATATAAATACGCAAGAGACTGCTATCTCCATTCTCTGCTTCTCGTGCGTCTTTTTCTCTTCGACTCATCAAGGTGACTCGACTAGTGATTCACGGCCTTTTCTTTTCTCGTGTGTTGTTTCTCCTGACTCTTACTTCGTCTACATTGTCTTGTCTTGTCTCGTCTCGTCTTGTTTAAATTGTAATTTCACAGGATAGATTCATCTTCCAACATTGCAACACGTTACACACTCGGCCAGTCTCTATAAAAACAGGATTCTCTGCATTTAAAGGGTCTCGGACATCAATTTCACGGATTTCCCAAATCTACCTCAGGAGAAGGGAAGGAGAAGAAGAAAATCATCAATAATTCTACGGACTCAACAGTATTATATATACCATGCCTGTCGTATCAGCAGCTCGTTACGGAAAGGACAATGTCCGCGTATACAAAGTTCATAAAGATGAGGCGTCGGGAATACACACGGTAACGGAGATGACCGTGTGCTGTCTTCTAGAGGGAGCGATTGAGACGTCGTACACGGTGGCGGACAATAGCGTCGTCGTGGCCACGGACTCCATCAAAAACACCATATACATCAAAGCCAAAGAACACCCGGTAAACCCTCCGGAGCTATACGCTAGCATTCTAGGACAACATTTCCTAGACACATACGCTCACATCAACGTGGCCAACGTCAACATCGTCGTTAAACGATGGACTCGCATGGTTATCGACGGAAAGGAGCACCCCCACAGCTTTTACCGCGACGGCGAGGAGACTCGCAACGTGGAGGCCCGCATTACTCGCCAAGGGATTGAAATCACGAGCGGTATCGCGGGGCTCCTTGTCTTAAAAAGCACGGGGTCGGCCTTCCACGGATTCGTCCGGGACGAGTTCACCACGCTCCAGGAAACTTGGGATCGCATTCTCTCTACGGACGTCGACGCCAATTGGAAGTGGAATACCTTACCAAACGTGGCGGCGGTCGAGAAGCAGGTAGCCCAGTTTGACAAAGCTTGGGAAGATGCCCGCAAGATCACGATGAAGACGTTTGCGGAAGAGGACAGTCCTTCGGTCCAGAATACAATGTACAAGATGTCTGAACAGATCCTCGATGCTGCGCCGGAAACTACATCGGTCACTTATGCACTACCTAACAAGCATTACTTTGAAGTTGGTAAGTATTTAATCGCCCACACATCGCCTCCTATATATAAAGGGTTAGCTTCTAACATATTTACTCTCACAGATTTATCGTGGCACAAAGGCGTCAAGAACACCGGCAAAGACGCCGAAGTATACGCTCCCCAGACCAATCCTAACGGTCTCATCAAGGTCGAGGTCTCACGATCATAGATGTTATTCTCATCTATTCTATATCATGTCTCCGGCGTTCGCGTGGGCCTGGCATTAATTTTTGAAATTGAAATTTACAAGGAAGTGGGATCTTCGATGAATGCATTATCATAAGATGGGCTATTTCCCAATCAATAGTATCTATATACCACCTAAAAAATAAGAAAAGCATTCATAGTTTAATTCCCTGGTCTTTGGAATGCCATGTTTTGCCATGCCGATGTGCTTCTTATGTAGTCCAAGTGTAGTTTTATCTAGCCCCTCGAATACCCTCATCCCAGCTTCGATCAACCACATGTCCAACCATACACTTTCCAAGATTTACTGGTTATATTTTTTCATATTGGTTATCATGAGATGCGTTCATTATACGCATGCACAATATGGTACATGGCAGATATACGGAGCCAAGCTTCCACTCAGCAGTTACTGCCCTGAATGTCTAAACCAAGCTCCCACTCATCTGCCCACCATCCTCTCCCCCTTTCACCCCTTTCCACCCCTATAACCTCTCAACATCCGACCGTCTCACCGACTTCACCGCCTCACTCCACCCCTCCTTCCCAACCGGCACCCCCGCAAACCGGATCAAATTCTTCTTATACGGATGCGCATCGCCCTCAAACGCCTTCAGCCTCGCCATCCTATTATCCCTCAGTCTATTCTTCGGCAACATCCCACTAACCGCCTTCCTCAACACCTCCGCACCTCCATGTTTCGCCATCAACACGTCCATGGTGACGGAGCGCAGGGACCCGGGCTTCGTGTTGTGCCGGTAGTACGTCTTCTGCCACATCTTGCGCCCCGTGACGTACAGCGCCGCGCAGTTCGTCACGACGACGTAGTCCCCGCAGTCCGTCGACGGGTCCCAGATCGGCTTGTGCTTGCCCATGAGGATCACGGCGATGCGCGAGGCGAGACGCCCGAGGGATGGGGGGATCGTGTTCGGTTGCGTTGAGAGCGTTGGGTGGGGCGTTGAGGCGGAGATGTGGTGCCAGACGCGTGTGTAGGCTAGCTTCGTCTGTTTATTAGGGGGGAGGGGTTAGTAAGGAATTATTTTGATATGCTATGTTGTGTGTAGGGTGGAATTGGCAGCTTACCAGGCCGATGGTCTGCGACATGATGACGGCTCTCGAGGGAGCTTTGGCCCCTCGTCGTCGCAGATATGGGGTTTTGTTCAAGATGCGTTGACTAGGAGTTCATAGGCTAGTCGAGGTGCCGTTTTGTGGTGCAATGGCACGTTGCTGTCGTCGAATTGGTATTTTGAGGGTATCTTGGATTTCCTAATGTTAAAGAGAGCGATAGCAGAATTCGATATTCCTGGATCACGTGCTCGGTAGCTACCGAACTTGAATTTCAGGTCTTATCGATATTGAATTAGACTAGCGAAGAGCTGATGCCCCGCACTAGTGACGCAAGTTTCAAGCGCCGAAGACCGAACTCGCAGGAGCTCCGATGAGGGGCAATTGCGACGATGGATTTCAAAGCAGGAACAATGGAAGCTGGCCAGTGGCTTATTACGTTAAATAAATGTGGATTTTTATGGTGTAAGTGAATGGCTTCCAGTCTATTCCATATAAATCCATATATGTGATCAGTATCATGGAATTCCCTTTCCTCTTAACCCCTCTAGTTGTATGATGCTGAGATATTTGCATGGTATCTCATTCCGCTCCTTTACAACATCTACCGGTTTTTTCTGTCTTGGTTTTGCTACCGAATCCTATTTCCATCGTAACAAGCGAGACACACTGCTTTATATAAAGAGGCATTCCGCCGCCGCCGAAGACAAGATGGCGATTCAAAATCAAATCAAGACTCCTTTTCAGGTGCGTCTGTCTATTTATATTCGTATTAAGAACCACCTACCTATGTCTACCCAGAAAGGCATATGATCAGTCAGGAAAGGAATTATGTCATGGTGCTTGAAATGGGACAGAAGGATAGATGCTATTAAGCAAGATTATAGAACGATGAGCTGATAGGTCCGACCCAAAATCCAGACCTTATTCGCCGTACCGATGACATGTGACGGCTGTGTCAAATCAATTTCCGATGCGCTGTATAATCTCGAAGGCATCACCAAGGTCGAAGCCAATTTGAAGGATCAACTGGTGACAGTCGAGGGGACTGGTAAGAGAGGAGTTCGTCAACAAGAGACTTGACTTGACTCGTCTCGTCTTGTCTTAGAAATTTCTTCACTTGAAAGGTGCCATGTTAAGCTAATATGAGCTGGTCATGAATAGCTGCACCATCTGTCATTGTGAGCGCTATTGAGTCCACAGGCCGGGATGCTATACTGCGAGGATCGGGTGCATCAAACGGTGAGAAGAGAATTTGTGTTTTTTTTCTTCCATGTTGGCTTGATATTACGAGCTCGGATTCATGCAAAGCATCGGTCATTATTTTTGGTCCGCATTAAAGCAGACCCTGTCCGGCCTTCATCCCCAACCACCGCGCCTTATGGCCCCCCACATAGCCGAGTTGCCGGAATTTCCTAAATTTGGGTCCTCATTTTACTCAGTTATCTGACTGAAATCCTTCCAGGCGCAGCTGTATGCATTCTCGAGACGTATCACCGCAATGAGAAGGGTGGTGAGGAATTGGTGCCTGCTTCGGCTCCAGAGGCCTCTACGGAAGGATCAGGAGCAAGTGACAGGGAGGTCAGGGGCTTAGCTCGTATGGTGCAAGTATCTCCTACGACGACCCTGATAGACTTGACAGTCCGTGGTGTTACTCCCGGAGTATACGCGGCAAGCATCAGAGAATACGGCGACCTGAAGTTTGGTGCTACATCTACGGGTCCGGTTTGGGCAGGCGGGAGTGGTACAACTCAACCCCGTGGCATCGTCGGTACTATACATGTTGGGAGTGATGGTCGAGGCGCGGCCTTTCTAGACCACTCCTTCCAGGTCTGGGAGGTTATTGGGCATGCAATGGTTGTCTCTAAACAACACGAAGGGGTTACGGAGGCTGAGCTGAAGAACGACGAAAACACTGTTGTCGGCGTCATTGCGCGAAGCGCTGGGATGTGGGACAATGATAAGACGGTGTGCTCGTGCACGGGGAAGACGCTTTGGGAGGAAAGAAAAGACGAAGTTAAGAAGGGTATGATCTAATGTTCGAAGTAGTTCGGCACGACATCCCGGATCGTCAACGTGTACTGAAGAATAAGGCTTTCCCATAAAAGCCGTCAGCCTCCAGCAGTTCGTTCTCTCGTCGAATAAGACATCCTCGAACAGTCCGAACAGGCCGACTTTGCTTTAAGGGTCTAATTCGTTCCCAAATAGTCCATCAAGGTATGCAGGGTAATTCAGGGACCTGTTCTTGCGTTTCCATCCCGCTGGCGACGCACAGCAACTCGTCGCGGCGCGATCCGTCGTAGTATTTTTACATTGTTAGCGGTAATCCATTCCAGCAATTCGGCACATTCTTACAGGGCAGACATTGGACGAGGTTACATTAAATCAGATGACAGATCTGCCCCGGTCATGTCATTCGATTTATTCGGACAAGAAACACTCCTTATCAATACAAACACATCTAGGGGCTTCGGGATAGCGTTGCCGACCAGTTGCCTAGAAGAGACTTTAAGAATCGCGTGATATCGTATACTTGATGGCACGATACAACGAACCACGGTGGCGCCACTACTATCCCCCAGCTAAGATCTCATGATGAATCGCCGCCAAGAATTGCCTCGTTGGGATGCCATTCCTACAAAAGCCACTGCCGTCCAATAATCCAAACGAAACATAGATGGGATGAGGCCTTCGACGGTCGTCGTGTGCCCGGCCTCTTTTGCCTTAATGTCGGCAAAGCGATGAAGATAATCGTGGAGGAAAGGCATGCGAATAATGGCAGATCTTCGCCTTCTTTTCACTAGAAGGGCTCATGGGTAGGGGTTTATCCAAAGCCAAGTCTGACAAGACGTAGGCAGGATTAAAAGTCTAGTCTCGTCGTTTACTCCCGAGCCCCAGGACCCAGCAACCAAGCCTTACAGCGTAGAGCATACGGGGTCCGGGGGATTAAGGTAAAGTTAGCAGGAGGTGGCTGTCCCGCAATGCTTATTCCTCTACTTTATCTTGATTCAAAGCAAACAAAAGTCGTCAGCACCTAGATCCAGAACAATGGATCTGGATCTTAAACTTGGGTAGATAAACTAAGGACGCGTATCTTATCAAACACATCTAACAAATACTTACCATACAGTTAGGTAATATGTAGATGTAGAGTACGTGCGGATTATGTTGGCTCTACTTTTCAATGCCACGCCTTGTCGCAGCAGGGCCGAAGTCCCACTTAGTGGTGACCGGAAACACGTGGATTGAGACAGAGAGATCAATTCAAACCTGAGGAACATGAAGAAAATCGGAACCCAGTTACGGTACCTGCCGGCGCACGTCTGCTGCAACAGGGATTGCAAGTAAAACTTGCGTATTGCGTACTTCGTACCTGTCTGTCTGGGTACGCTATTTGACGAACTGTTGAGGCGGAAGGACTATGCAGCCACTTTAGCACACCAGACATCACCCGCAGACGAAGGATCAACAAGCGTTGAGCCCCGAATGTTACCTCTCTAACTACAGTAGGACGAGCAAACACCCCAATACACATAATATCACTCTCAGTAGGGCTCAGTAGGGCTCAAAGGATCGATAGGGAATCCTACTAGTTTCGATTTTCAAAACGTCAATGGCAAAATTCTCTCTTTCTCTCGGAGAGCCATGCGAGGGCTAGTTGAGGCTCTCCCGAGGATCTGATCCGCTAGCGAGGTTCGATCACAGATGTCGTGGATCCAAGGGGCTTCGAAAGACGCGAACACATCGAAGTTTGAGGGTTATCAAACATGCACCCTGTCCCTTCTGCCGAGCTAGAATAGTCTTTCCTTCATGCGCGGCGTGGCGGCGCACCGACTACGTTTGCTTTAACGTGGACTCCCTGGTCAAATTTGGGCGGGATCAGATCTGAAAAGCTGATGAATAAGGAAAACCGCCTCAAACGCATTGGGGAGAAGCGAGTTTCGTAACACACCACGATGCTAGTCCCAGATCTCGAAGTACGTACTCATAAGTGGCGTTTGTCTCACACTAATCTAAAGTATGGTACATGATGTAAAGCCGTCCAAGGATCGGGGAGCTGGGAAATGGCGGAAATGTTATCACGATATAATAGATTTTTAGAAAGCGATGGATTCATCAATCGGGGATTTGACGAGGCATGTGGAGAGAGATCTAACAGACATCAAGCAAGAAATCGGTAACGATTCCTACATACATAATCTTATCTCACGATCATGTCACATCACATCACCGCGAGTGACGAATACCTAGTGCTGACAAGAGCTACCTACATAGAAGGCTTGTCGGCGCGTAGATACAACCCTAGGAACCCCATTGGGGTAAAAGAGAGGAACGACGATAGATGCAAATTCTTCATTCTAGGATTAAGATGGGACGACACACCGTCACATGAGCATTCGGACAGCTCGAGGGAGGAAGGGAGATGCTGATTCGTCCATGAGGAAAGTTCTCGAAGGCATCACAATAATTACCGTGACTTTAGATATGTACTTACGTATGCTGGTACATCCCGACTTTCCGACTTTATGAAGGGAATTGTGTATCTCCAGCTACCTAGGAGCTACCTAGTACTTCACGATGCAGATTTTAGGCGCCCTTGGAAACGCTTGGAGTCGGACATTGTGGGGCCGTTCTGAATTTCGTCGAGGAGACGGACCAATCATTCCCCCTTAAAGCGGATTTTTTGCATTTTGGAACACTTCCTGCATGAGGAGAGGCCAGGCCCCCCTTGTCCCATGTTGCAACCTAACAATATCGACAACTATATTCACTGTATTCCGGATGTTCGCTACACCACGAAGTAGTAATCACAAAGTTCGAATACACAGGAATCAAGAAATCGAGATATTGGAACATACGTTTCTTCCTTCTACCGTTACCTTTAAACAGATGAAGAGTATATGGCCATATATGACTATTTTAGAGATTTAGGAGTGATAAGGGGTCTTTGAGGAGACCTCTCGCCCCTCCGCGATGATGAATTAGGAAAGCCAAAAAAGCAAATTGACAATAGTCAGCCGAGGAGGAATCTATTCTATGACCAAGTGGCCTGGTGACTTTGCGCCTAGACGATACTACTTCCTGGACTTCTCATCCGTCATCCTTCTGTTCTATAAACAACATTTTCAAGCTTTTGAAGTCGTACAACAATTTCATATCGGCGTCTAGAACTTGGAATAGATACAGACGGCCGAGATGAAAATGGAATGCGGCTTTGCGCGCTTGTTCGAGTTCGAGTTCTGGCCGTACTGCGGTAGACCATTCGTTGCCAACGTGTTCTACGTCTAAGAAGTCGTTAGGATGAGACGATCCTACACATTGGCTTCAATGGCGCCTGTTCGAAATCATGGTAGGTCGAACGACAAGTTGGATGACAGATTTTCTGATCGCCAACCTCCTTGTCACTATTATTGCCTATTGGCAAAGCAAAAGGGAAAATGGAATAAGCAAAAGTAGAATGTATTCTGTATCCTGTACAGAGAGACAGAGTAGAGGATGAATTGACTGGCGCTCAGTGCCCCTCCTCGTCTCCCAAGCCCAGGCCTGTAGTCCAAGCTCTCGGCTGAGCGAACCCCTGCCCCTGTTTCTCCCTAAGTCGGTCTTAACCCTGGTTAGCATCATCGTCGTTTTGGCTGCCCGCAAAGAGGTACTCCGTATCCACTCGAGCTACATCACAATCGCGAAGCGGACGGGGTCAGAGTTACTGCGAAGAGAGCAGAGATACTAGAGAAGGTACCTAAGACACAGAGAGAAAGAGTACCTAAGAGAAAGAGTAAGGGAAGTAAAGAGAGAGACTGAGCAATACATACTGCATGATTCCCATCTCAAGCCAGAGCGAAGTTCCCGACTCTGATCTTTTCCCGTCCAATGCTTTTTACCTTGGCACCACAAGGTCCTCCGTCCTCTCGCCCATTACTGTCTTTTCCGCCTCCTGCCCACTCTTAGTCCTTCTGTACGCGCTGGCTTCGTTGTCGTTCATCCACTCATTAACTCCTCACCCGAGCTGCAAGTCTACCGATTCTCATCACCGACCTAATCCATTCCTTGCAGTTTTCTTGCAGTGCGAAGAAAAAGGAAAGAAAAGACGTAACTTTTCATGTCACTCTACCACTAAACAAGTGGTCCTTTCTGTCGTTTTCCGATATTTCCATATATCCATCCCAAGGCCCACCTAGTTGCAGTTGGCTCGTGGCCGTTCGTGCATCCGTACCTACATATCTATCCCACCATCCACCCAACTTACCCCCGACCTCGTTCTTTTTTTTGCACTTTGCCTGTCACAAAGGAGCTGCAAGATTGCTGGTGTCCCCGTACCAACGAACAACCATATCTACCCGCCCCCAGGAACCAAGTCGCCCGCCCAATCCTAAGCAAGTCCCGTTGGATCGTAGCTAGACCTACATACATGCCGCAGTGAATTTTCAATTGCGAAGAAAAAAAGGATCGAGCGTCAGCGTCAGCTGTCAGAATTTCGCGAAAAGCAAGGCGAACCGCCCACCCGGACCAAAGACTATTATTAGCAGGGCGATAGAAAGAGGGGAGCTTTTTTAATATTAAGCCACAACCACAGCCAGGGGATTAGTAGTACAGAGGTTATTAAATCCAAACACCAATTCAGGTCAAGCCAAGTCAAGTTTCAACAGTCGAGGCTGAACAGGATTTAATCGAAAAAAGAACAAGCGGAAGAAGAAGAGGATATCCGAAACTCCGCCGGCATTAAAATCGCCGCAAGGAAACGGCCTTCCCGCCTTTGCTTTCTGGACAAAGCAATTGGTATTAATTAAAGGCCTATCCCGGCGACAAGATGTCTTTAAAACAGGTAGGTTTTTAAAAACTAAGCCACAAGAGTATAGGGGGTTAAGGATTAGGGATTACAATGCTAACTCCCGCTCAAGGAAATAGAAACGTGGGTATCGGCCCTGAGCCGGTACGACAACAATGAGTTCGAGGAGGCGCTCAAGGAATTCGACGGCATCTCGGATACGTCCAAGATCCTGTTTAACATGGGTGTTATACATGCGACGCTAGGAGAGCACGAGAAAGCTGTGAGCGGATTATAACCTCAAACCGAATTCGAGGTTCATCGAGTTTGCTAAACAGTTTTTCTGTCTTTAGGTCGAGTGCTACCAAAAGGCGATCCGACTAGATCAATACTTAGCCGTGGCCTATTTCCAGCAAGGAGTGTCGAACTTCTTACTAGGCGACTTCGAAGAGGCTCTAGCGAATTTCAACGATACCCTGCTATATCTCCGAGGCAATACGATGATCGACTATGCGCAATTGGGTCTGCTTTTCAAGCTATACTCTTGCGAGGTCTTGTTTAACAGAGGTCTCTGCTACATCTATCTGCAGCAGAAGGATGCCGGTTTACAGGATTTGAATTATGCGGTCAAGGAGAAGGTGGTGGAAGATCACAATGTCATCGACGAAGCTATTCGGGAAGAGGCTGAGGTACGTTCCATTTAATTCATATAAAAAAGACCTCTTAACTGACATTCCATAGGGCTACACTGTATTCTCGATCCCCGTGGGCGTTGTATACCGACCCAACGAGGCCAAAGTTCGGAATCTAAAGACCAAAGACTACCTAGGAAAGGCACGTCTAGTCGCTGCCTCGGATCGGGCCAACGCATTTACGGGCTTCGCTGGATCGGAGATCAAGAACGCCGGGCGAGCTGCAGAGAAAGACGATCGTCCGACGGAGAACCTATCATTCGCGGCCACGAACCTCGTCAAGCCTGGGTTGCAGAGCAGGAGACAGCAGTCTGAACCCCCAGCCAGCCGTAACGCATTCCCTCCCACGCCACCTCCCGAGAACGACAAGCCCGCCGCCATGAGCCGCGGCGCTTCTGTTCGAAATGGCCCTAAGCCGATGCCTGCACGTTTGAATATCCCGGAGTCCGGGAAGAGTAGTCGGTATGATAAGACTAGCTCACCCCAGAGTGAACGCAAGGGCCCTTCGCGGGCTGCGTCGGAAGTACGATCGCCGCCTCAACGAAGCTACTCGAGATCCGATGCCCCTAGAACCCGGCGCTCGAGGAACGAGGATGATGGGTATCCGGATGATGTCTACGATATGTATAACGGAGGTGGGAGCAATGCGGGAGGAAGCAAATCGCAGAGGAGTCGGAACCAACCCAGCCGGTACATCGAAGAAGAGGACGAAGGCAGCGACTACGACTCCTTCGACGAAGGGGATTTCGAGATGGTATCGAACCGACGACCAGGGACCTCGGTGGCGGGCTCGTCACGAGGCGGGTCGAGGAGACCGGATATCCGCAAGGTGCGGATCAAGGTGCACTCCGAGGACGTTCGATACGTAATGGTTCCCATAACGGTGGAATTCCCCGACCTCGTCGACCGCATCCGAGATAAGTTCGGCCTGAGACGGCGCTTCAAGTTGAAGGTCAAGGACGAGGATTCCCCCGGCTCGAGCGAGATGATCACGATGGGCGACCAGGATGATCTCGAGATGGTGATGATGAGTGTGAAGTCGCAGGCGCGGAAACAGAGACTGGATATGGGGAAACTGGAGGTGAGTTTTCCACGATACTTGATTTACTATCATCCTATGGCTTCACTTTACTAACGACGACGATGATGACAGATATGGGTGCAAGAAATCTAGACGTTTTTCTTTCCTTCGTGTGCGGCAAATCAAATTACGATTACAACGATACCCAAAACAATTGCGATCTGACTTCATACGACGTAATGAAGAAGTCTTTTTTCTACACGGCTTCGCTCACCTTTTTACAGTAATAATATACAATTACTATAAACTAACCTACTTACTCCCCATCTATATCTATATATACATTTATTAGTTTTTACCAACCTAACCTACTATTTTATTTTATTGTCTTCTTTTTCTGCATAACCTACATTCATCCATCTATCCATTCATCCATCCATCCAACCTCTTAAATACAATTATTACACAAATCCCCGATTCTCGCCCGACGAGTGGGAAGATCAATCCCGTGGGCTGATTTCAGGTTTCGTCTGGTAATGCGTTGTGAAACGAAAAGCGCGACAGTTTCATCCCACGCACACACGCGCCCACTTCCCGTCTCCTACCCCGGCCCGGGCGTAGAGACGGGGTTTCGTTTCGACGGTGATAACGACGACGGTTATAATAGGTGCCTACCTATCAAATCAGCCGGCGCCAACTCGTTCGTGGCGGGATCTTGGGATTCACACTTCACACCTCCATCAATCAATCATATTTACCTCCCTAGTCCTTTTTAGTTTACTTTTTTTCTTCTTATCATCGTCATACTACAGCATATATATCCCAGTTTTAGAATCGGATAACCGGCGAATGGATTTCACGGCCTATCGGGTGGGGTGGAGGAGAAGGAGTATAGTGATATTTACCACCTATTTACCTACCTACTTACCTACATATTCATCCATCCATCCATCCTTGCCTTTTTCTTACCTTCCAAGTGCGTGCGTGCGTCGTCGTCATCCATACAATATCATATATGAGTTAGAGCTATCGGGTTATAGTAATAATGGGATTCCTACCGGAGAGTATGGGGCTACCAGGCTATAGGTACTCGATGAAAGTAGGAAGATGTTCTGTTTTTTTTCTTCTTCTCGTATTTAGGTATTTATCATTCGCGACGGGAGCATCGGAGTTCAGTTGGCGGGACAGAACTGAAATAAGAATCGAGATTAAGAATAGGGGATGGATGGTCATCGATAGGATAGTATCTGGCTTTGTAGGTAGACAAAATCACTCCCGCCGAGGGCTTTGGCATTTTATCACTGCGACTTCACGCTATGCATGTGGCTCTTGTGACTGACTGACTGACTGACTGACTGATTCTATTGCTTTTATATTTGAATCGTTTCTATGGTGCTTTTCGTGGCCTAGGTAAATTGTTTATATCCTCCTCTCACTTTGTAACGACTGCTTGCTAACTTGTCTGCGTTGCCTCGGCCGGTAGCCCTTTCCCTGAGGAGTGGCTTGTTGAATGAGATGTAGAATGGGAAGTAGAGTGGGATGTTGAACGAGATGTAGATTTAGACGTAGATGTAGACTTCTTAGTGGTCGAAGTCGATTTCGAGGTCGACGTCTTCGTTGTTTTCGTACTACTGCTCCCCGTCTTAGTTGTTGTTGTCTTTGTTGTGGTTGTCGGGGGAGATGTTGATGGCGGAGAGGTAGAAGAGGCGCTGGTACTTGTAGGTGGTGTGGTCACTGGAGGGGATGACGGTGGTGATGGGTCGCTTGCCTGGCATCCTGATCCAAATGCTGGTTGGCAGCCTTCGCCGCAGTAATCAATTGTTGATCCGCACCAGCCGTTTCTATGATGGAGTTGTGTTAGTATAGTTGGTTAGTTACTAAACAAGTGATCGAACTTTCCATATTCATGCCTTGTAAGCATAGAATTTAGGAATAAATCCATATCATCCACAACACAACCCCGAGTGATTGAGATAGAAAAATAGTAGAATGAGAACTAACTGACACTGAACAACAGTTTCCAAACTCCGATCCTTGACAGGTGATTCCGTTACCGCAGTTACCGTCGACCGATACATCCTGTGTACTGGTAGGAGCAGGACCCGAAGTCGTGGTTGTGGTTATGGGGTCGTCAGGGTTACCCGTAGTTCCTGGACCGTTCGGGAGGGGGAGGTTCGTAGGGATCTGTGAGTCTGCAGACGAGCAGATACCGAATTCGGGCCGGCAGTTCGAGCCGCAGTAATCGATCGAGCCACCGCACCAGCTATTGGTAGAACAACCTAGTAGCCGAGATTAAGCTTATAGTCAGTCACAGAGGTTACTGGGGTTTACATACAGTTTCCGTACTGCGATCCGGCGCATGTCACCCCTGTGCCGCATTTTCCATCTTCGCTCACTTTCAAAGTGCTGCTCGGTGTGCTCGGGCGGGTAGACGTGGGTGTAGGGAGACAACTAAATGTTCCAGTCGGGGCTCGAATGGTAAAGTTGTAATCCGGGACCTTTCCTGTACCAGCTCGGTACCAGTTCTCAGGGGGATCACCTAAGCATTGTCCTACTGTAACGGACCTGTAACCGTGGCTGAATAAGGATTCGAGGATGTAGTCGGTCAAATTGTAGACGGTTTGGTAGTGGATGTCGTGCTCGATCTCGAGATAACTGTCTTCACACGGGTTGGAACCGTCAACCGCCTCGTCCCAAATGTCTTTGCTCGTTTGAATCTGTTTTGCGTCGTCATGGAGATATCCCTCAGTGTCAAGATCAAAGTAAACAGCGTGATATCCAAGGTTAGCTAGCTGTGACTGGCAACCAGCGGGACAAATGGAATAGGGGGGTCTGCGTGGAAGTTAGTATGAGCCCCTATTTAGAAAGGAGGTTAGCACAAACCGCATGTAAGTAGGGAAATAACCGAGGATGTCGTTTAGAGCAATCTCATTCCATATCATCTGGTTTTTGAATTGAGCTGTGGTTAACTGGCTGTAGTTCTCGTGTGACCATGTGTGGCTCGCAATTTGATGGCCCTCAGCAGCCATTCGCTATTTCTATTTGTCAACTCCATTCTCTATTCCTTCAAACGAAAGTGCATACCTGGATTACGGTAGACCAAGGATATTCCGGGTCATTAATTTGCCCCTTTCCTAGATTGTTACCAGTAATGAAAAACGTAGCTTTTGCTTCATATTTCTGTGTTCCAGGTGTTAGTTCATATCTGGGAATAATAGGGGGTAGATGTATGACATACAGCAAATTTGTCGAGAAGGTCGTTGGTGTAATCATATGGACCATCATCGAAAGTGACAGCGATATCACCATTATTCACACAGTCGTAAATACCAACGCCACCGTACTGTACTTTGCCCACTTTGGTACGAGAAATAGACGAAGTGTCCGCTCCGGATGGCTGTATATTACCATCGCACGCTGGCCCGTAGTTAATCTGACAGTCTGGAGAGGTACAAAAGTCTTCCCCTTGCCCGCAGTAGCTTTGTGGCGTTAGCATAGTCAACGGAAGTCCGAAATGGGGGCTAACCCTTCAGCCGAGCAGCAAGATCCCTCTGCACATTTTCCACGATTTGCGCCACATCTCGTGGAACCTCTCTGACGTTTATCGAGCTCATTTCGTTCTTGGTTTCCCTCTTCTTCCGGACCTTCGACTGTCTCAGTTACCTGTGAGGGTTGCGACCGAGATTCCCAACTCCTTTTTCCTCCGAATTCCGACAAGAACCTTCGAGCCCCCGCGAGCTTTGGGACGCCACGAGGATGATCATCCGAATTCGCATGTGCAGCCGCCTGGCTAGCGCAAGCAGCCACAACCACGGCGTTCCACCAGTGCATCGTGATAAAATGCGATATGACCCCGTATAGAAAGCGAATGTCAGGGCTGAGCACAACGAATTCTCAAGCCGTGGGAGTTCCTAGCTCAGAGAAGACAAGGCGAATTGGCTGTCACGATAGATCTTCAGCCAAGGGATCGAGCAGCGAGGACGGGCTCTTTAATAATTAAGGCCACGCGTAACCGAATGCCGCGAAGAGACGATGGCCCAGAAAAGATCTGTATTAGATGCACATGGTCCCCCGGATCGGGGGCATTGGCGGTCCATGTGAGGAGCACTCAATATATACCCGGATGCTACCTTGGCAGCAGACTGCCTGCGCTTACGAGCCACTCAAAGATGTGGTATTGCAGATGTCCTCTTAGATTTGCAGCTGCCGTCGTCATGGCGTCTTCGAAAAGACTGGACTGGCCAGATGTGGCATCCTATGCGCGAACAAGAACACGAGGTTGGAAAACCAACATGCCATGTTGACGGTCAAGTCCATCGAGGCCTTTACGAGAGGAAATATTGCATCAGTACCCATGTCCAATATTCCCGGAATAGTTTGTTTCCGCTGTCTTGGATATGAGTTTGGATGTTCTCCGGATTCTAGACGTTTAGAAGTCTATGCTGCCCACAATAAGGTATTGCCAACTTTTCTTGAGGCTCTCGTATACTTGAGACCTTGTCTTCTCCAAGGTGAAGGTGCTCACCCGGGGGTCATTCTATTGAAGACCCGATCTTCGTGATCGACGGCTTGCCAATTCGGTGGAATTTAGAATGACTCGTCATCTTCCCCCTGAATTTTCGGCAAAGAGAGGGTTGTGTGTATGAAAATTGCGATGGCAACGGCATCAGAGATCAAGGTGACAGTGCAGCAAAACGTTTGTGGGGTTAGAGACGCGTCGCTGGGTAGAAAACGACATTGGGATCGAGTTCCCTTCGGTCCGCCAAGCCTTCGCCTCATCGTCCAGCCCTTCATCCATTCCACGGTTGAAGTGACTGGGGCCGGATTGGAGACGGCTATATTATATTAATTTGAAAATATCCTAAAAGCAACCTACCATCTCCTCTGCATTGCATAACACCTGTTCCAGAACTAGATACCATCCAATGGCTTGGTTACCACTAGCCGCAAATTTTTTTTAACAGGCTCGTTTGCATTAGAAACAGAAATGCAAAGAAATATATTAATTGGAATGGATTGTTACCTTGCCCATTTTCTCTCGACACTCCCCAGATTCCCACGCGCTGGCGTGCTCGGTCCACAGCCGGAATCGCGCAACTCGGATAGCGGCCAGTAGGTAGATCATTCAAAAGGATGACGAGTCTCGGTAGGTTCGCTCCGCAGCAATCAGCAACGAACATAGATGGTATTCCCTCAAGGTGTGTCTTTTGAGTCTGTAACGTAGAAGAGGAACGTGCCATCTTCTTCCCCAATTGTGTCTTCAAAGTCGAATATTAACAAGAGATAACTTTTATTTTTAGACGCCGTTGATATATACTCGCCCGACCTGTCACATGACTTTCTTTAATCCATTACTTGAATGCTACTATAGCCATTTGGTTCTCATTGCATCTAATAATCAATGTTATTATGAGGTGCTGTTTACCATCGTGGGTTCACCTAATCGGATAAACCCCATAACCCCTTATATGTTCTACAACACGAAAATGAAAAGTTCTTAGCGCTTACCACGAATTAATGAACATCATCTTGAGAACGGCGACTGGTAATTATCTATCATCTGGGTTGTGTATATGGCCATAGGCATGTCAATTTCGGCTTGCTAGGTTGAGGACATTTGACATCCACCCAAAGTATCTTGTCATCAGAATACCAAGAAGTAATTGACGATGCTTATTTCCTAACGATAAGCTCTTGGCAACCTAAGGGTGTCCTGAGGCTAGAATCACTATAAATATACCCTCAATATGTCAATGGTAACCACAGTTACGAGCTTAATCCATCCTACGTTACCGCTTACATGGTATTGAGGTGAATATGACCTTGGAAACGCGGATAGGTTATCATGAAAACCAGTTCGACCAACGTAACATGGTCCACAAGACCGAATCATCTCTCGTGTGGATATGCGATGATATCGTCTGTTGACTCAAGTGCTTCAAGACACATGGCCGTGAGATTGACCTCGGATCGTGCCATGAGAAAGATAGCTGAGGAAACATTCCATCCGCAAGGGTCACGATAAGGGACTGGTCCAGTCAATATGGGCTTGATATCAATACATATCACCATTAGAGTAGGTTAGTACGATCATGAAGTTATAATTTAGAAGAAAATACAGTTTCATCCAATCTATACTCCGTACTTCCGCGGCACTTGTGCAATCGGGAATGCCTCTTGATTGCTCACGATAAAACTCTTACCGATTTTGATGGAGGCTGAAATAGAAAGGGGAACTTAAGTGAAGATGGCAAAGGCATGTTGTACCAAAATCCAAGAAACTTCGGGAACTTACCCTCTCTTACTTTGGATACTGAACTAAGACACACCACAATAGATAAACGTAATTAATTTCGTATTCGTAGATAGCTAAGCTGGGCGTTTTATACAGAGCACATCATACAGACAGCGTCCTTCGTGACATGATCATCCATCATCCATCATCCAAGAGCCTCATTTCTCTCTCATCATATAGACATGACACAAAAATCCTTACAAGGCCTCGCCGACTATATTCCCAATAGCCCCGCCAATTTCGCCGAAGAGCACGCCTTTGAATATAGATTCTCCCATATCTTCGACCCAATGGCCCGTCTTCTTGAGCCGCAGCTTCCAGACGTCCTGCTCTTTGCGGTCTAGGCTTTCCCAAGCTACCGTGGGGCCGTGAGTTTCTTCATCTTCCTCGCTGTGAACACCGACATGAAGAGGTGGGAGTCCGTGAGCGTCAATCTCTCCGGTCTCAGCATGTCGGATCACGATGGGCTGGCCATCTTGCCCTTGGACACCTGATAAAAGGTCCTGGATGTTCTTGTCATGAGTCTCAGAGACCTTTCGCAACGGTTTTGTCCACGAAGTGGGAAGATAAGGCTTAATCCCTAGTATGGGCTGGCCAATATCTTTTGCTTCAAGGAATGTCTGTCCAATCATGGCAAGGAAGAGTACCACTATCGTGAGGAGAGTGATAATAGTTAGGGGCGATTCGCCTTGAGATTTCAACGCAACGACATAGCGCGACGGTCTTGGGGGTCCTCCTTTCCTTTCCGATACAGATTTGTCAATATGCTTTTTGAGCGGTATGCTATGTACAACAGTTGTGAAGCCAACACCTACGGTGGCCAGCTTAACTGTAAGTTCTGTGGTAGGTTTTGATGATTTCGGTGGTGTAAATGGTGAAAATGTAATCCCAGTTATATTTGAAGGGTGGGCGCCTTTGAGCACGTGGAACGGTGCTAGATCCGCCAGGAGTTCAACAGTGGCTGCAGACTTATGTTCCAAAGTGAATAGCGATATCGATGCATCGTTACCGGCGACAGCGACAACGAATTGAGTTTCGCCTTGCTTGTCCGACGGAGAAGAAGCCGGTGACAGATTTCTCACAGCGAGACCGGTAGCCTTAGAGACGCCCTTGGGCAATCTTGCACGAATCGCAAGTCGCGCATTCTCCTGCTCTTTGGCGGGGAGGCGATAGCCATGCAGGGCGACTCCATTGGAATTGGGCCTATTGACGACGGTTATGAGAAAACCGGGTGTCAGGTAGCGCAATGATTTGAAGGACGCCTTAGCTGTGGCACCTTCATCTGGGGTAATTGTGTATACACATTTCGGGTCGGATATTTCAGTCTTTGATACTTCGACGGTGAATATTTCATGATCATCGCAGTATGCTAACTGGTATGTGTCGGGACCAGTCTGAACGACGTCCAAGTCCATTGCTTCTCTAGGTATATCCAGCCTGCCCCGTGATTTCCACCGCCCGCCTCCTGCACATGGTACATCGAAGAGCGCAATTTCGGATTCCTTAGAGAGGCCCGTCGCGATAGCGCCTAGTTGTGCAAGATTTTCGTACGGGTGGGACAGACGGAGGAGTCGCTGGTAGGCGCTTGCGTCCTTATGCAAGAACAGCGCATCTCGCGCGACCTCGGAGACCCTTACACCGCTAGTCTTGGCCGACTTAGCGGGTTGGCTGATGCTGAAAACACGAAAATGTTCATTCTTTCCCTTCTTAATATCTTCCGGGCTGGAATTGACGCCGGCGAACAAGGTAAGGTTTCTATCTTTTCGAGGACCGGTGGCAAGGGTTGTGACGTTGTCTTCGTTCGGACTTAGCTCGAGTTCGGCAACTTCTGATAATTCATCTGGTTTCGAGGTATCAAGAACAGTCTGCAAAGTAACCTGGTTAGCTCATCATCATCCTCTTCATCATCAACAACAAACCAAACACATTAAAAAATAAACAACAAAAATATTATTAATTATTCCATACAATTTTATTCCCCACACCATTCCGTCCCGGGCCGCCTCCTCCCGCGACAATAAGTTGATTGGGATCTATCGGGTCGAAGGCGCACGAATAGAGAGGGTAGGAGAGGGTGATCTTCGCGGTAGGGATACTGTTCGCCATTGTCGCAATTAGGATTGATTTACTCGGTGGCAGTGAAGAAAGCTTCGATTAACTTCGTAAAGGGAACGACATGTTTAAATTGACATTTTGATAAGATGCGCAAAGTTTGTTGTTCTGTTGACTTTGGCTTTTGACTTTGATGACGAAAGTGGTATTCACTTTTAGTTCAAAGGCAAGGCCACACTTGCATCTTCTCGTCGGGGCATCGGGGGTAAGAGCTGCCCTGTAATTTTGGAATTAGGTACTTCTTTTAGCGGGAAAGACCGCTGCAGCTACAGCCCTGTCCGGGAAGTGCCACGTTTAATCCTTGTCAAGTGCCAGCATATGGGGTACGTACCGGCCTATCAACCTTTCAGCTTTCGACAGCTCTTATTGCTCTTGGTATCTTCATGATCAACATCAACGAAAATCTTTCACATATTATTCGCCCAATGTTTTATACGAATTCCCACGGCCCTTTTCTAATTCGGTGTTAATCAGAAGTTAACCAGATCCAATAAGAATCGTTACCATAACAGCTATAATTAGACCATAGCAAACAACAACACCATAACTGTCATGACAATCATCACCATGCAAATACATTCAATAAACATACTTCATAGCTACCTTACTCACGATCTCATACAAATCACACCATCACAGCCATACTAACAGTCTAAGGTAAGCGAATACACACCAAACTCACCAACCTCACCAACCCCTCACGCCTCCCCCAGCGTAAAATCATAAACTAGCGACCACCTAGCCCTCTCATCGCCCTCCCTCCGCTCAAACTTCACCAGGAGCTCGTCCTTCGTCGCAAACACCGCATCATCCTTAACATGGCCATCCTCCTCATCAAAAATCTGCGTAACCAACCTGCGGTACCCCTCCGCGCCCACAATGAAGTGGATATGCGCCGGCCGATACGGATGACGATCTAACAACCCCAGCAAGCGGCCTGCGGGCCCGTCCAGCGGCACCGGGTACGGCGTTGGGCGCAGACAGACGATCTCGTACCTGCCCAGGGCGTCGGTGCGGAAGCGCCCGCGCAGGTTCATGTCGGGCTGCTCGTCGTCCTGTTGTTCGTACAACCCGTTCGGCCCCGCGAGCCAGACGTCGACGATAGCGTCCGGGATGGGCTTGCCAGTGGTTTTCGAGAGCACGCGTCCTGAGACGTTGGCGAGTAGCGGCTTGGCCTGCTCGTACCATCCGGTTTGTGGCGAGACGATGCTGCTCCCGTTAGGCAGGAGGGGCGCGTCGGCGCGGTAGAAGGGCCCGAGGACGGCGGAGGGCGTGGCGTCCGAGGTGCTGGTTCCCGAGAGGAGCAGTTTCGATGTGATTTCGTCGGCGAGAGATTCTATGCCAAGGATATCGCTGAGGAGAAGGGTTTCGTTGCGCTTGTCTGTGGACTTGCGGCCGCACTCGTTGATCTAAGATCAGATGTCAGTTGAATACCGATTCTATTGGGCAGGCAGGTAGGTCTAGATGTGAAGGTTGGTCAAATGGTAAGATGAAGTCAACTTACTAATTCGACCCCCATCATCAATTCCGCAACCGTTAGGTCTACCTCCCGGCAAATGGCGTGCAGGTGCTGTACGAGGCTCGGCATGATCTGCTTGAGACGGGGATGGGCCTTGGGGCCTGTGGCGGCAATGACATTGTCCGTGAGCTCCGGACTATACTCCGGCTTTTCCGTGTCCCCCTTCATTTCGTGTTCTTTCTCCATGATAGCCATACTATATTACTGACGATCTGAGTTGGCAAGTATGTTGCATTGCTAATATATGCAGAACCAGTCTAGATCCTAGATTTGGATTAAATGCAGCCCATATGCAGTTTCAAAACCTTTCTGCTTACTACCTTGGGGGGTAGGTTGACGAAGGAGACTGACTTAAGATGACCAACATAGGTGTGTAAAGGTATCACCTGTGTTCCATTCGACGAAGAGATTTACGCCCAGGAATCGACATTTCCGATCCCCTATAGGAAGGGGGAATGTGTATGACGATACATGGTTAAGATGGGGCTACGAAAAAGTTTCTCTTGTCACGATGGACAAAGGAAGAAAACGGAAATCTACGCATTTAGGTGGAAACCAAGCCACCTGAGAGGAATGCTTTTTGTGAAGCAGATGCCTACTACTACTTAGCAGGTAGTACCCTGACTTCGGAAGTCTATCAGTAATCAAGCAAACATTAGCGGCTATCAGCATGGTAGATCTATGCTATTTTTCTAGATTCATCTCGGCAATCTAAGCATCAAGCAAGATGGCATGCATTAGCAACGGGTTGATGCATTTACTTCCAAGGAAGCGAGCGCCCTACGAACCACAGCCCTACCCACAAAGGAGCCAAAAGAGGTAATTCGTATCGAGCGGCATTAGATATTCATATATCTCTGACCGGGTTTCAATCTATGCCTAATCACTCATGGCGTTAGTAGACATGAACTAGCATTCGTGATCCCGTAGAGGATACATCACGGACATTACAACCATGGGTTTTGTGGCGGATAGTGGCTTTTTTGTGGCTTTGGAATATATTAAAACTTCTTGAATCAGGTTTTCTTGGAATCGTACTTATACCATTTACTTATTACCTAGGTACTAGGTAGGTATGCAAATTGGTAGAGGGAAATATGGCTTTCAGACCTACTCGATGCTTACCAAGGACATATATAAACCACCTTCATAACCTCTATTTTAAGATAGAAATCTATAAAAATATCTACCTAGGTATGCTATAAAGAATTAACTTACTACACACTCACCAAGCAATTCGGCGATTCTACGAGCATATATCCATAACCATTTTAATTTTTTCCAAAAGCTAACAACCAAAGCAAATATATACTAACAACCTCAACCCACAACCCTCTATCCAACTCCGTGGAATCGCAATGCCTACCTATCTATGCTTACAATTACGTATATGTACTATAGAACCCTCAAACACCACCTCGATCTTTAAACACCACCACCTCAAAACTCTAATCCTCCTTAACATCACCCACTTCCTCCTCCCCATCGCCAAACCTCTCCTCAAACTCCCCATCCTCAACAGCCTCCTCATCCACACCCACATACTCCTCCCCATCCGCATCCGCCTCCGTAGTCTCCCCATCCGTAGACCCCCCACTCCCCCTAAGCAAACTCTCCAAATCCTCTCTATCAATAATACTCTCAATACTCCCCCTCCTAACCCCACCCCCTAGCGTCTCCCTCCTGCCCATCTCAATCAACCTCTCCACCTTCAACCGATTCGCCACGAACTTCATGCGCGGAAACGCCGACTGCTGGCCCTCATGAATCATGCGCGCCAACCGGTCGGGGTCCGGATCAGACAGGATATTCCAGAAATCGCTCGGTTTGGCCTGCGGCCAGATCGTGATGGTGCCGCTGAACTGCTGGAGCCAGAGCTGTGACCAGTCCTGGCCGAGGGGACGGGGGAGCAGTTCCAGATGGCGGAGGACTTTGAGCCATTTCGTGAGGTCGAGCTTGATGTACTGTTCTGTAGCGGAGCCGAGGTAGCCGCCGCGCCAGCCGCGGCCTTTGCGGTGGGTTACGGGCGAGCCGACGGTGCCGCGCGAGGAGAAGAAGAAGAGCGAGATGTGCGGGTTGACTTGGCTGACGATTGTGAAGTTGACGTTGAAGTGTAGATTTAGCGCTTTGATCGGGATGTCGGTGCGTAGGCTGCCGTCTTTCCATTTGTGTCCGAAGGAGTATGGGACTAGGTTGCCGTCGCGCGTTTTCATCATTAACACTACTGGGTTCTGGATTCCGGGGACGGCGGCGGAGGCTAGGACTGCGGACCAAATCACGCAGTCTGGTGATGTGAGGTAGTTGCAAAGGATGGTAGGCGAGTGAGGGTCTGCAGGAACACAGGAGACGTTCAGGATACGTCCGGTGCGCTGGTAGGCTTCTCTAAACGTCATAGAGCCGCGAGACCACCAGCTCCCCTGGCGAGCCCAGTCGACCGAGTCGAATCTCGCCCCGGTCTTCCACCACCTAGGGAACCAGGTGCTAATTGGTTCCGAGCAAGCCTTGATTTTATGTGCCAGCGCCGGAATCAACAGCTGCTTGAGCTCATCGTTAGTCCGCGTCGCGACAAGGGATGCGACCAGAGCACCACCGCTAGTACCGGTGATGACGTCCGGCACCAAATCTGCCTCGAGCAGCGCCTTGACGACTCCGAAATGGTAGTATGCGAAAACCGCACCTCCAGATAGACAGAGTGCTGTACGCCCATAATTCGCGTGCATTCTCTTAAACAACGCTCGCTTCTCCTCGAAGGATATCTGATCCGTGTGGGCTAGAAATCGTGTGCTTTTCTCCACTAAGAAGTGATCTTGTTAGTCTTGCCATATCCCCCATCATCGCCAACCCAGGATTCGTTGTGACAAACCTTCATCTATGAAATTCTGGACTAAGTTCTTAGTCCCATAGTAAGTCTGGCTATAAAGCCTCGGGTTCTCAACTCCAACAAAATTATTCTTCACACACGCCTCCGTCAAGGCCTTCAGCTCTTCAACAGCCTTACGACCTTCGGCCCCTCCATTCTCATATCCATGCGCGCCCGAACCCTTCGCTTCTTGCGCTTCGGCGGTTCTTCTATGTTTACGTAGCTGCTCCCAAACACGGCGTACAGTTTTCGAATCGTAGTAAGCGTACTCGTTCTCCTCTTTCCAAGCCTGGTTCCCCAAGAAAGCATCCATCTCCTTCGCCGCCTTCACCCAATCGCGATAGCTACTCGTAGCTCGCATATTCCGACGAAGCCTTTCTCTCGCCCCTCTCCAGGCTATAAAGTGTTCGTACAGGAAAATGTAGAACCTCGTCCATAGATACGATGCGCCTAGGCCTATGATCCACATGCCGACGAATAGGAGAAATGGCCATTTCAGCAGTCCGTATAGGTGGCCTTCCCGAGTCTCGTCTACGGTGCGGCGGCCGAGTGCGGTCTTCTTCCTCCTCTTTTTTCGACCATGCTTCGTGACTTTTTGATTTACCGGTGCCCAGTCATTCTGCGCCGTGATAAACATGCTCCCCTGTGTGCCATTTTGAGTCGCCGCGCTTTCGGGGTAAGGAGAATCGACAGAGGCTACGGATCCAGATCTAGTTATATCGAGGCTATTTATGCTTCTGGTAGGACTTAATAGAGAGGTAGTATCGTTAGAGGATTGATTTGATGGATCGGGGGCGTTTAGGGCCGAGGCGAAGGCGGCGAGGTGTTCGGGAGGGAGAAATTCGCGGTCGACGTCAGGTAACCTCGTGTAATCGAAAGCTTCGGGAGGAAAGCCGTAGTTGTGATTGCGCCGACCGGGGAGGAAGGTTACTCTCGGTTTGGAAGATTCACTTGCCATGTTCGCTGTCATGACATACAATGCCAATGAACATGATGGAATAAACTGGTGGAATTGCAATTTAGCTAAGATCAAAAAACTACCAATAGAACTTTCGGCTTTTACAATTCAATGGGAACTGAACATCGCATTGTCATGTTGTCTCGCCAGCCATTTCGGCGCCAGTCAGAGAACACGAAATGTAGTAAGTGGGTGCTGTAGGTGGTACGTAGAGAGAGACAAGACTGGGGGTGGAATGACTAGAAAGACTAGAATGACGTCGAGTGTCCGGCGCCACATTCTACAGCCTAGGCACAAGTCTAAGTAGGAGATCTATTGGTCCAAGCGTCCCAACCATTATCCCTGCAAATCTTACTTTTGTTAGGTACATGTGTTACGTACCTTTTTGTTAAGCTGGAGCACGGAGACACCCGGGAGAATATCGCAGCACCTGGCATCGTAACATTGCCGCATTCTAGAATACTCAAGAGTCTTGACGGAATCATGAGCTCCAGAGTCTTTTCTTTTCTTTTCTTTAATCTATCTCAGACATTATATTCCTCATTGAAAAGAGTGAGTTTCAAGTACCCGGTTAAACATCCTATAAGGATCAAGATGGTAATTGTAGATATAGACGGTAGATAGCAGATGAGATAGTCTATCCATAAATAAACACTCTGATATCAAGTAATGCGCAAATCCACTATGGAACCAACACTCAAATATGTTAGAAATGGTAATGCTCAATTCATTATTGCGATCTGGCAAATGCCTCTAGCCATTGACTCCAAAGAACTATCCCGGAAAACATCGACTTCGGTTGGTATGGTACGTAATAGTAAGCTGTCAAAGAACTCCGTTGTTTCCCAGACGGCTATCGCATTCGTTACACCCGTATTCTCCCAATCTGTATCTTGCTACGCCTATCCGTATTCGATTATAGATACGTATAGCTTAGACGTACTGAGAAAGCCATCTTATACCCTCGCCGTATCCTGCTTGACGTTAGTTTCTTCCCCCTTTAGGCTACTCGAGAAGACCATATATCTGACGTACCTTGTCTCATAACCACAGAGCACATGAAGACCTCAATGGGCCTAATACCCTCCAGCGGGACCTTACCCTTGCCGGTTGTCTGATACAAGCCCAACTCGTGGCGGAGCTGATCCTCAGAGACGGCGTCGGGGTGGTCGATCTTGTTTCCGAGGATGACGAAGGGCACCTTGCCAAGCTCCTCCATGGATAGAAGGGCGTCAAGTTCGGCTTTGGATTCGGATAGACGGTCGTGGTCCTTGGCGTCAACGAGGAAAACAATTCCGTTTACTTCCGGGAAGTAGTCCTTCCACAGCCGACGAGCTAGATGAGGGTAACATGTCAGTCCCAGCCTTGTGGCTTATAATGGAATCGCGAAGCATACCCTGCTGGTGACCACCCAGGTCGAAAGTGGTGAAGCGCACATTGCCGATAGCAAGCTCTTCAGAAGCTAGATAATTGTTAGCAGGCTGACACGTGCGCCTGGTTGTTCATTACTGTATATGCGTATGCGACGTACTAGGATGTAAGGTGGGCTGTAAGATAGCAACTCGGTCGTTCTATAGATTCATCTCGTTAGCATTGTTGTCTTCAATAGGTAATGCCAGCATTAAAAAGCTATAACAATATCACTAAACCAGCATACGTATGCCCGTCAAGCAAGGGAAGCGGGAATGATGGAATTACGCACGAACCTTCAGCATGTGTAGAAGAGTTGTCTTTCCAGCATTGTCGAGGCCGAGGAACAGCAGCTTGGCGTGCTTGTTCATCAAGCCGAGCGATGAGAGGACATCGTAAACTGTAAGACCGAGGGGGACAACGTCAGCGATTGTGAACTATCATATGAGCAAAGGACGGGACAGCTGAAGATAGAACTAACACCACTGGACAATCCACATCTTGGAAGGATTGAAAAACTGCAAATATGCGGGATGGTCAAAATTGGGGAGCGGTAAATCGCACGGTTAATTAAAGTGTTGCTAGCTTCGTAAAATGCTCGCAAAGACGGTGGACGATGGGTGATGATATATAGTCCGACGCTGTCCCCAAGAAAATTACTAGCATGGTTCCAACGGTTAAGGACAACCTGGAACACAGGTAGAAAACAAGCCACACAGCCACAGTGTGGCTTGAATAAATAGCACATTCACTGTATAAAAATGTACGTACACTCACGGGTGCCTGCGTATCCGTCCTCCGATTTCGACATGAGGGAAGAAGCACCTGATATCATCATCACCAAAATAACGTGAGGTAATCTCAACTAGGGCTTGAGTACAGCTCGCAGTTTCCGACATGTATGAGATTCTATCATTTTGCATACGTGGTTGCAGATTGAGCGAGGATTACAAGTCTATAATCAGGATAATTTGTAGTCATCGCGGAACATGGTTTTTACCATCAAATAGATGAATTATGCCTCAAAACCAAAAGACGTGTCATGTTTCAGCATTCAGTATACCTTCATCTTATCAGTACATACATAGATATCTTACAAAAACGTGCACCCGCTCAAATCACCGTCTCATCACCACGAAGCTCAAATAAAGGTAAATCGTAGATCAACGAATATGTTCAATTTCAAGCATAGGTATCACCGGATCGCCGCCCCATGCTAAATTTACCGTTCCCAAGTGGTATCCTTAATGATCAATGCTGCCGCCCCATGCCATAAAAAAAGGGAATAATGCGATCTCATGCGAGAATGTTGTCGCGCCGAAATACATTGACAGCGAAAGAAAGGCAAAGTTATGTACATTGACGACCTCCAGCAAATGTAATCCTGAAGTCTGCGTCTCAATAAAAAAAAAAGTAGGTGCAAAGAAAGACAATGGTGAGCAATATTTTTAGTTGAGCTCAGCAACTATATGCAGGGCCTCCATCTAGCGCCTAGATGGACAGGACGAATTGGTCCGGGCCTAGCTTTCCAGCCATGAGAAGTCCGATCTCTCGCATCCTTTCGGCACCTTGACCAGGTTGAGGTTTCTTCTCGACGATCTGGCCCTTTCGTGCCTTGTTGCAATGCATCTGTTGATACTTCTCCTTAAACTTCTCCTTTCGGCGCTGTCGTTTCTGTTCGAGACCTTTGACAATGTCAATAGCGCCTCGTACGTGGGCGTTGGTAGACGAGTTCGAAGATCTAGTAGAACGGCGATGAGCCTTGAGGTGTTGCGGGAACATTGCCGGAGCTCGCGGGAGAGATTTGGTTTGCGTAAGGCCAGGTCGAAAAGCAAGGCTCTTGATCTCCTGATTTCCGCGATTGGCATTAAATACCAAGGATGATGGAGGAGATTGCATCAGGGGTCCTAGGGGTGGTGATAGAAGGTGACGTGGTGAAAGGTCAAAGAGTCGCTTTGGCGATCGACCTCGAGCTTTCGGGGGAGAATGGTGACGTCTAGGAGGGGGAGAGTGGTATCGCTTTGGCGACGTATGGTCAATCCTCTTTCGACGTTCACGGCCATTTGCATTGACATCGGATAGATTATCGTCACTATCATGAACAGGGATATTCAGCTCAATATCCTCATCTTCGGGTTCAGAGGTTGGGAAGCTCGGGTCAATATCCTGCGGAATCGGGTGAAGCTTCTCCTGTCGTCTAGCCGCAAGACACGAGAGGTAAGCCTCCTCTAGAGGACGATCTTCGTCAAGCGTACCGCAAACGAAGTCAGTGCTATCAGGAAGCTCTGGTGTTCTAGCGCGTATTTTGAGTCGCTTAGTCCGCGCTACCCTAGTCGGGGGATTGGGGAAGTCGGAGGAAGACGAATCGGAGCGGTTACCAGTCATGGAAGGTCGACGATAGATGGTTGTACCCCCAGATAGTCTGACGGCCGGTCCACGACTGGGAGTCCATAGATCCAAGTTTCCACCGTCGTCGTCATCATCTGACTCGGCGAAGCCAATTTCGTTATCAGTCTTATAACCATCCGAAAAGTCATCGCCATCCGACTCAGAGGCAGACTGGTTATCAACCTCGTACCCGTCGTCGATATCCAAAACATCGTCCACATCATCTCTCTCTAGGTTATCATCCGGGCGATCCTCGTCGTCATCATCATCCTCATCCTCATCACCTTCATTAAGATCCTCTTCTTCCTCAAGCTCTTCCTCTTCAAGTTCCTCCTCCTCCGCCTCCTTTCCTAACCGGCGGATTTCATTTTCTTTCTTAAGAGTGTCATCAATAGTCAATCGACGACCAGGAGGTGCGTGGTTTATACGAATCCAATCCTCTTCTTGGGGTTCATCACTGGCAAACTCGTGGAAACGAGAAGATTCGCAGTTCAGATCGGTTGGGTTCGCGGTCAAATACTTGGCTGGGCAGACCGGCATCGGGCTTCGTGACATGGGTCGCGGGGTCAATGATCTTTGCGACCGTCCTCGGCCGATTGAAGAGGATCGAAGCTTTCGTACAGTGACAGGAGATCCATCTTTCTCCTTCGGTAACTCCGTGTTAGGGGTAATTGCTAACTGTAGTGCGCCTTGCTTTAGTGGCGTCCGTTGAACCGGCTTGGCAGGGCAAGCGAACTTGATGCACGATTTTCTTTGTGGCTTCTCGTCAGCTGCCGGCTTAGGTTCGACTGGTCGCTGCGGAGCCAACGGTTTTTTAGCATCCGCTTTCGGTCCGCATGCAAATGAAATGCAGCGCTTCTTGGTCAAAGCTTCTACCGTAGGATCCCTTTTCTCCCCGTTGTTTCCAATTGGCCCGCGGGGTTTGGTCACGGCGGAAGTCTGCTGAAGACCGTAAACTGGAGCCAACTTGGATTTTGCGTCGTAGAAGAAATCGGCATTTAATCGTGCTAGTGATACTACGGGTGGCGGCGGGCTGGGTGTGTTTGTGCGAGCGGGGCTTGTGAAGCCAGTGTCGCTGGTAAGGTCGGCGGTAGATGCGAGGCTAACGCTACTGTTCATTGAACGGCGTCTTGATGATAAGTCGAAGTCGATATTAATTATTTCTTCTTCAGAGTGGAGGGCTTTAGTTAGGAGAGATTCCGAGTGATCCGATATCTTCCGGACTGCGCTCCTCTTGAATTGATTTCCCGGGTGTAAATGACGATTGTCGGGGGGTTCATCAACTTCAGCCGCAGCCTCGTCTTCTAACGCATGCTGCATGTGCGCTCCTTGCGATGGCAGCGCCAGCATGGTCGCATTAGCCGAATCGAGTATCGGATCGTTCGTCATTTTGATGGCGATGATGAGTAACTATTTCACTAAATGTGCGATAGAAACTTGTTGATTCAATATCTTGGTAGATGTGTTGGAAAGTCGGTATGTCGAGTATAAGCGTACGATATCTTCTAATAACGCGCGCGCTATTTTATTTTTTCGCGATGTTGGAATTGGCGGTAGGTGACGAATGTCAGATGTCGATTATGAGTGCAAGTGCCAATGCAGAGCAAATGCAAATGTAGACGGTGGATGGTCGATGAAGTTATAAATGAGTTTCCGTGGATACACGTTTATTGTGCAAAATCTAGACCCCAATAAGGCGATTTTGTAGAATTGTCCCTAGGGACCGTTTCGCTATAATTGACGGCCCATGATGCCGTGAACCGAGTTCAAAATATTGATTGTATGCAGGTAAATTTTAATAAGTCTGTTGAGGTCTCAGTTCTGGCAAAGCCAAGAGATAGGCAATGAGTCGGCGACAGCGATGTAAAGTGATGTCTTAAATGGTGGCTTTTTTTGCCAAGGGAAGATTGAGAGATATTATCTCTTCTTTTTTTCGGTAGAGCGGGTAGGACAAGTACAGTAAAAAGGAGGATTCGCCCTGTCTAGCAGGTAGCAGGTACTAAGAGGTATGTAGGATGAAATTGGTCTGTCGGACAACAGAGGCGTGGGACTCTTGGTAAATTCTTGGCCCTAACTAAAATATGACGTCGAGCCGGTACTGTGTCAAAGGGTTCAAAGAGGGAATACAAATATATTCTTAATTATTTGCAAACGTCTAAGAACAGACACAGTCAGACTAGACCATCTAGAGCCCGAGCCCTCAGGAGACCCCTTTAGTAAGGACTCGTAGAAGTTTCAAACAACGAATTCCTAGAAAAAAGGGAAAAAAGTCAAATTCATCAGAATGTGGGAGAAGGAGGCGATAGAAATGGGAAATGAAATTTAGAGAAAACCGGGGACTTTGAAAGAGAGGGGTCTTCTATGTAAGAGTGAGGGTGAAGGTGTGAGTGCTTGAGTGCGTGAGTGTTGACCAGAGGCTACGGGATCTGGTTCTGACGGCCTTGAATGGATTTGTTTGCATGTGGACACTTCTAGGATGGAATAGAACTAGCAAAGATTTGATCATCCATCATCCATCGTAACGCTGGACAACATCATAAAACTACTGGACAACTCAAAGCGGTGCACTGGGTGCAAAGCGGTGGGAAGGAAAACGAGTGGTGAAGCAAAGTGGGAAACGTGGGAAACAAGCGGTATGCGCAGCTATTACTGGTCTGAACTAATCCATAATCCGTACATCTTATGTCAATACGTACATAATGTAATGTAAATGTCGACTTCCATTGCTTTGGTCTGCCTTAGTACAAGCTTACAACAAATACAATGAATACAATGGAAATGTACCGTACCTGCACTTGTCTACACTTAGGACTCACATCCGAGACTACGAAGGCAAGGCGAGGCAAGTGCAAGCAAGCGCTGTACTCCGTATGACTCTAACTGGCGTGATACTGTGGAATTGGCGGCGGCGGATAATGAAGGCTTGGAAGGCTTGGGAAGGCTTGGTGCCTCCTTGGAAAGCACGCTTGGAATCTTGGCTCCAAATTGAGTTCCGGGCGGGGCCCTGGGATCTTCGAGTACCAAGGCTCCCCCTGCCCTTGCGCCCTGCCTATGCCCGCCCTCTCCCTCCTCACCCTACACCTTCCAGTCTTTTTTTATCGCTGCTGCAGCCTGCAGAATCAGCAACCAGAGTAACAACCACTCATCGCCGAGGAACCCCCGGTAAGGAAGTAAGAAACAAATCCCATGTTTCTTCGGTACTCGCCTTACGCCTGTCGCTTACTTAAATTCATAAGTACCATCCATGGATGCGTACATTCATCTCACTTACAGCGTATTGCACTAGACCTACATGTAATATGTATGTACATACATATATATCCATAGTATGTAGGTACATTAGGATCATGCTTATCACCAGCTAGGTAGGTCGCTACGAATTCATACATATTTACGAGATATTTACTTACATTTGCATTCGTTTTACCTTGATATGGATATGTTTACACATACCGCACATATAACTGCATGATAGGAACCTGACCCAGCAGCCCAGGTACCTAAGTAAACAATCAGACAGTATAAACAATACCTCTGAGTACGAGTAACTGATAGAAGAGTCACTCGAACTGACCGGATGAGTAACTTGTCACTTTCCGATTGTTCTAGAGTGACATTTTCTAAATGGGTTTTCTGGAATAATGGGCATATGATTGCCGATTTCGCTTTTTACTCATCCAGCTCATCTTTGTCATATATGCATTGCGACACGGCTTAAGCAGGTGAGCAATCACGGGTAGTTGCACGACATGTATATACGTACATAGTATGTAAGTAAAAGAAATATACAGGGGGCCGAGGCCGCTCTGCAAAGACCTGGAAGACGTCCGGGCGCATCTGGACCTGCAAGTAATTTCTTTAATTTTGTTAAGGTGTACATGAACGATGGGCTGAACATCAACGGATCCGCATGTTGTGCTTGATCGCGAATTTCCACGAGCCACTTTTTCGAACTAACAGACTAATAAGTTTTTTTTTTCTTTCTTAATTTCGACCGTCTTGTTCCATCGATTCGACGGTGAGATGGATAGTTCGCCTGTATCCATGCGGCCTAATTTAGTCGATCTGGAACTGTGTAAATTTTTTCTATGCAGACCGAGAGAAAAAAAAAGTTTTTCTCGATGACCGGCGTGTTGTTGAGAAAAGACAGTTCATCACCCTTTAGACGGGTATTTCTATATCGCTCACAGTGTCCGTTACGGATCGTAAAGCTAATGCCAGGCGTAGCTAGACGTATCCTCTCTCGTACATCCAATTCATACTTTCAATGGTCCTGGCTCACTATTCTCCGAAATTGTTTTCAATGTTTTTCAATGTTCTCTTGTTCTATTGATGCCCGCTCTCAGGGCTAGTTAATTACCGAATTCTTACGGCTACCCTTTTCCAGCTAGAAGACTCTTTGATTCAAGATACAGATGCAGATGAATGAACCCGGATGCAACCGTACATGGGATCCCATCCACCTTCTAATCCACTTTCTCTTCGCCTATCCCGAAGGTTGTGTAATCATCCTTTCAGCAGAGCTTTGTTGTTTGACTACTAAATCTAGCCAGCTGGCTGTACGCAAAGGTTAATTCTACTTCTCGAAGTTCCAACACAGGTAAGCAAAAAACCTAAATGACTTTGTGTAGCCTACCATCGCATAATCGCATAGGTACGATTCCTTGAAGGGATGGCTCGTGTCCTGAGGCGGTGAGCTCTCATCGATGATTACGGATGCCGCCTTAAGTGGCTAAAGGATATTAAGGTTCTACGATATGAAGACTAAATAAATCCCGACCGGATCGTTTGGGATAATAGTAGCAAGTTTTTTAGCGACGGTAAATTGGAGGCATTCCCAAATCTCCCTATCATATGCCTTGTAAAAGAGACAACAACCCCCCAGAAACTCCGTCTTTCAAGCCTGATGATGGCACGACGTACGGGCGGACGATGTTGTACAGTACAGCACAGTACAGCGAATATAGCGAATACTTGATCCGTTACCCCGGTCCTTTAGGCTTCTTTGATTCGCTGCGTATCGACTGGACATGCCTCAAGATGTCCTCCTGCGTCCAGCATGACATTTGGGACTGTTACGCAGCTAACTCCCTGCAGGCTGCAGCACGCAACCTAGTTCGGGACACGCGCGGGTACTCGGGATAATAAAAGCATATCGCCCATGGCATGTGGGTTTCTTCGCTTGCCTCCTATGCAACTCTATCGCTCACACCATCATGCCCTCTGACATCAGAAAACAAAGGGAGATGGCCGCTAACACTTCACCCTAATCTATTGTCGTTAGTCTCGAGAATAAGAGTGCGGTTCCCGCAGAACACGTGGTGTCTTTTTTTTCATCGTTGGGTGCTGAGACATGTGAGACTTTCGGATAATCGACACTTTTGATGATTTGGTGTTTGATAGGGAGTGCAGCAGTGGCAACCCTTACGTGCTGGGTTCTTCGCTCTCCCAAATCCCGCCGGCGCTCGCCAATGGAAGCCATCCGTGGATCCTGCTGGAGCACCCCACGGCGAATGAAGGTGGACGAAACCCCCAACTGCCCCTCTTTTGAGGAGGCAAGGAAGATTGATCTGCTTTGACACATGGTATCAGGATGCGCTCTCCGTCGGCTTGAGGGGTAGCCTGACTGTGCCTTACGTACGCCATTCGTTATATTCGCTATATACGATCTTTAGCTGATAAGCTGAGGATTGCCCGACTGTCCAACATTGTGTTCATCTTTCCTTTTCTTGTTTTGGTCGCTTTCTGATCGCTTTTGGGGATCATACGTAGTATAATAGCGGCGTGGGATATACATACTAGGCCGCCTGCCCGCAAAGCAAGCTAGGTCAATCTCGTACTTTTGATCTTGGCTCCCTTTTGTCCACGGGTAAGAGATGTCGGAATCCCCCTCTTTTGACCACTTACGCAACTAAGTCGTAACTAAAGTACGGTCCTACTGTTAGATCTCCAAAGTAGCGTACCATAGCAGTTTACTAGTGTTCACCACCCCGCATTCAGGACTACGCCTTTCAAAGCTTAGTAACTTCAAACAGCGGCATCAGCGCGTGGTTGAAAATACTAAGCCCAGCTCGGCCAATTCTCCGTCGAAGATTGTCACTTAAATTCCTGTTGCACACAAAAGAGCAACATTGTCAGTCAAGGTAGGGTCCAAATCCCTGTTGCCATATGTTCCCAACTAGCGATGTTTGACGATATAACAACCAATGAATCTGTACGACATACGTAGTAGTTTGTAGGATTTATTCAGGGTCTTTTTCAACTATGCCGTTTGACCGGCATCCTTCGTGAGTCCTGTGACACCTCCAAAAAGCTTGTCTTCAGCCAAGTTTGACTACTACGTACTACAGGTATGTTAGAGCCAGTGTCTCAAGTGTCGCAAGCAGATTCAGAAGTATGATGTAATGCTGGGATCTGCACTGTCAAGAGAGCTTCAATTATAGCCACCACCAAGCTGCTGCCTTAACGGAATTGCGCCAGCTGCACACGAATGCGACCACCACGCCGAATAGCCTAACAGTCTCCCACGTCTACCAAAAGGCTCGCGAGATTGTTAGGTCATAGCTGGAGACCTTAAAATTTGAATAGGTAATATTATGTATTTGGTAGCGCCGTAATAGTTTTGACGCACGACTCGGTAATTCTGTCTTGGCAGGGCAAAGTTCAGCTTAATGGATACGCGACGTCCACGGCTCAAGCCGTCATGATCTTCTTCTCTCTGACAGCTTGTGCCACTCTCGGTTTCCCGTTATAGAACGGGATCGTAGATGGGCGGGATGGGTAGGTGGCTTAGGTCTCCGGATATACCCGATGGCGACAAATTCCAGAATATCAGAGAACTTCAGGAGCCAACGAATGAAAGCAGATTATATTGATCTGATCATCGTCCTGATGTAATAATCCTACTCATCTCAAGTTAACCAATACCTACTTACGTGTTTACCACAATGAAGAATCATTTCTGTATGAAATGACGGTGATAAGCAAGTTTTTGAATCCTGACGTTTTCGCGACCAACCTTGGACATTTCAAGATTCAAGAACATTCATTTATTGAATCTGATTGGATGGGACTGCATAAGCCTTCGCAGCTGCCTTCGCAATCCTCCGAATCCTTCGACCGTAGATTTGATGACTAAGGTGGGTGTTTTAATCACGTGAAGTAACGGAACGGCTGTTAGATATTCGAATCAGATACACGCAGATCACGTGCTATGATATTCTAGACTATTCCTAATAAGGCTTAGACTGAAATTGTGTGAACCGAAAGCCCGATAACTTCAATGTTCTAAATTGTTTAATGTCAACGTTCATCGTGAGCTTGCTTTGTCGTGAATTCTCCAATTGACAGCAACCAGTCATCATGAACACTCTTCGCGTCGCTCGCGCAGCCCTTAGGGCTCGTCCCACAGCTATGCGTCTCCCCATTCAGCCCCTTCAGCGAAGGACCTATGCTGAAGCCGCATCGGACAAGGTTTGTCTCGATATTATTCTTGTGCCGGTGCCGTCACTAACCTCTATTTTAGATCAAGCTGAGCTTGTCTCTCCCCCACCAGGTATGCATATCGATATTGATCTCGAGTTGATCTACCATAATGATAATACCCTCGTCGGGAGCGCAATTCCCTAATTAGCGCATGCTGCGACGCAATCCGAAATATGCGGCTAGCTAATTCCCGCAATAGTCTATATACAAATCCCAAGACGTCGTCCAAGTCAACATTCCGGCCGAATCAGGAGAGATGGGTGTTCTCGCCCAGCACGTTCCAGCGATCGAACAATTGAAGCCAGGTCTGGTCGAGGTCATTGAGGAGACCGGCAGCAGCAAGCAGTTCTTCCGTACGTAACAGGGACGATATAAATATAATATTGGAATGCATGGCTAAACAATGGTTATCTTCAGTTTCCGGTGGCTTTGCTGTTGTTCAGCCGAACTCAGTCTTGAGCATCAATGCGGTTGAGGGTTACCCCCTGGAGGACTTCAGCGCGGATGCTGTCCGAGCCCAGATCGCTGAGGCGCAAAAGGTTGCGAACGGCGGCGGCAGTGAGCAAGACATTGCAGAGGCTAAGATTGAGTTAGAGGTATGATAGTTGTCTATTAACTTGGCTACATTACTTGGATATGACCGCTAACATTTTTACAGGTTCTAGAGAGCTTGCAATTAGTCCTAAAATAGATGATGCCTTAGAGGAAGGGAGGGAACTTCAATGGCAACTTGTACATCACAACCCTAGTCCTTACTGCGAAACCGCCTGATAGCACGAATTGAACATGCTTAGGATCTTGCTACCTATTACTTGCTACTTACCACTTGCTACTTGCTAGCGCTTTCCGGTATTCATCCGTGGGATATCTTTATATCAGTGCTTGCCTTACTCCCGAGTCCTGGCTCTCAGCTTCCCTGTTTATATTACTAGGGTGTAAAGCCAATTCCCGCTTCTACTCCATCTAACCTCATCTAGTGTCTACTTAAAATATATACCAATAGGCTATCTGAAGTATTGATCTTCCCTCCATATTCTTCACCACAGTCTCATCGAATATCGATTATTATATAACTGCGGCAGCCTATTACCGGCCAGCACCTTGCGTTGCCGACGGGTCCGATGATAAATATGTCGACTTACTCACTGGTCGATCCCCCAACCTGTACGAATACTCTCACCGACCATGATCACGTTCCATTGGCTCAAAGGATCATACCGAAAGGGACCGTTTCGTCTCGGATACGTCGGCTTTATAACCTTACCCATTCCCATCATGCAATGCCGGAAGACCCCGAGTTTATAGCCCGAGAACGAAAATATGTATTGGTTGGTTAGGGCCAACACTCGGGTTCATATTTCGGCGCTGCTGGGCCATGGCTCGCCCCTCATGGGTCCTCGTTCATTGGTCTACAAGGTGACCGGTGCACACATGATCAGAAACATGGCTTTACTGTCACTTCTTCTGGTTTAACTAGCCACACTCCGAGACCTGCCAAGTCGAGTCACGTTGGACAAAACTACATCCAGGGATCCCTTAGTAAGCCAGAGCACGATATTCCAAGCTCTGTTACTAGTCTGTATACATTCCCCACGCTCGAGGGCGTCGGCCTCAGTGAAAATTCTGTTCACTCTCCGCTACTAGTGAATCCTCTAAGGATAACGAAGTCTATCTCAGTAGCGCCAAGCTCACCATGTGCATCAAAGGTTTCGCAAACCTCATCTCTAGATACAGAAGCTAAACAGCAAAGTTTTGCTCGCCAATTATTTGAGCAGCATGGCATCAGGCGTCCAACCGGTTGGTTTTCTGACGATGAAGACCTGTCTCTTTTAGGCGATAGGACTGCCGACCACCGGAGATTCTGTAGAATCTGCCACGTCTGTTCTACGCGAATTTGGTCTCAGACTCACTGCTCATCTTGTAATCATCGGCTATGCGCAAAATGCGTTTGTGAAGTACCCAAAGGCACTAAGGGAGCACACGCAGACTTCGTACACCCTCCGAGTCATACTCTTAGATCAGATGAGGCACGATCACGCCATCGAAATGGTGTCTACCGTCGATTAGAACCAGGCACTACAGGCCATGAGAAGTCGAAAACCCATGCTTCGACGGCAGCAGCCCGAAGTCCTCATACGGAACATGTTAATTCCTTAGGAGACTTACCTAGCCAATCTGTGAGACAAAATCCTTTCATCGTTGCAGATAAGGAGAGGAGAGAATTGACAGCTGAATCTCATACTGTGGAGCTACCAGCTACCCAGGAATCTTATCATCGAACGTGTTCTCACCGACATACGGATAATCCAGCCCGTGGATTTTCCGATGCTCAGATTGAATGTGACAATCCTATATGCAGAGCAACGCACGAGGGGCATTATCCGTACCGGCATAGTATCACATGTGCCTTATACCGAAGTGACGAGGCAGAAAGATCTAGAGCTTCACCGAAGGATTATCGATCATCAGATAAAGACTCCGTCGTTCGCCTAAAGGGTTCACGGTCTAGCAAAGAAACATCGAGGCCCATAGACATAGTACATTTGCATCAATACTCGGGGTTTCACCACTCCCATCATAGCTGCGCCATAACAAATGAATCTCCGGTAGACGAGCACAGGATTGCAAATGAAAGCTCCAATCCAGTCATATCAAGATGCGGCGCAGAACATTGGCCGGACAAAACACCAATACCTAAAGGTCGTGTGTTGAGTCCGCCGTCATGGCTGAAAATGCCAAGAAAGGAGGCCGGCGATGCTAGGTCTAGACTACACCCTGTCAATCCAAAGGGTCATGGGCATTTGCTAAATTATCATGTATTGAGCTCGAGTGAAACAAAATTCGAGCATCCGAAAAGCCCAACCTATAGGTTTCATTCCGTAAGGGACTCCTTCAACAAATTGACTAGGTCCAGTCTCGATCTTTTACGGATGGCTGCCCCATCTCCGCCGACAGCAATACATGTTACACAACATCAGAAACCGGAGTCTTGGCTAGATCATTCGTCTACGCATGTACATTCTCGAGCAAGCCACGAACTATCTCCTCATATGATAGGAACGCCATCAACTCCACTCCACGGAAATTCGCCAAGGGTGCATCAGAACACATCCTCTCACCAGGAGCATGGACATAGGCGTGGACATTCCCCAACACATCTTCAGGTTGAAGACGTTAGGTATCCACGAGATAGATTTCTAGGCTCCTCGTCCGCTCCCTCAACTACTCTCCATTCACACCAAACCCCCGAAAAGTCTAGTCATACCCACCACTTGGTATATGAACATTCCCGAGCTGAGACCGTTAGGCCTAGAACGAAATACCCTGATATTCGAGTCGATACTCATACGATATTCGAAGATGAACGATCTTCGTTGAGCTCTACGATCCGTGCATGCCATTCTCCGCCACAACCTCGACAAATCGTACTTGACGCAGATGAGGCCACTACATCTTGGGGCCATACTTCAACTCTAGGACTAGTGGAGGACTCCGCCTCGATTTCCAACGAAACATCTGACGTCGAGATACACCGTCCGAGTCCTATTGCGCCTCCGAACCACGATTGTAATTGGAAAGAACGCTATCTAGCATTGGCGACAGAGATCCGGTCACTGAAGGCCGAGCTATCCACTCGAGCATCACTAAGAGGCACGGATATTGATTATACGGGGTTTGGTGATGAGAGTTCTACAAATGATGATGAGGATTTGGGTATACTGGGAGTAACAATTATCCTGCACATGAGGGGAAGAGAGGATCTGGTTATCAAGACGGACTTGACACAAGATCCTGGATAAGATGATACCAGCTATGGTATATGTGGGAGTCGGAGGATCATTGACACTCGTTCACGATGAGGGGGCACAAAAATTAGAGGACGAGGGTATCAAGCCGCTTGATGAACTTAGATGAACCTGTGGTAGTATAGAGGAAACTTTTCGATAGGTTTTACATATCATTATTATTATACTAGTATCCAACACCCGTGCAATTTAAACAACAAGAATAAGAGGTGCATACTTACTAGAGGACTATATCCTCCTACTTTGACTACAAATTTCACTTGTTATAGAAGAAGTCAGGGAACACAGTCAAATTCCAGTTTGCAAGATCTCGTGTTTCGAACATTGCCTTATCGTATACACTATTCACCAACCAGCCTCATTGTTTATTCTCTTCCAGTTATGTGAATATTCTACCTACTAGAGAACGGCAGGTCTTGCTATGAACTGCCGTGCGAAGAAAGCCACCGCCACTAACGAACTCGGGTAAGACGGCTTATCTAGCTGTTTACGCTTGACGTAATCCCGTGAGGCTATAACCTTAGCTTTGACTGCAGCTCGGGAGATCGGAGAGGGATATATGTAGGAAATAATAATACCTACTTTTACCAAGATCTATTAAAACAAGCTAGCGAGTATGAATATCGCCCGCATCTCTACCGATTTTACCAAAGCTCAACCGATACAAGAACTGCTAGTTCGTCTTATCCTAGAAGAAACCTCCTATAGACATCAAGCGTTTCTACAGCGTACGCCCGTACCTACATATAAACAGAGTTCCCATTATCTCAAAGTCCGGGGCCTTGGAATGGGCTAGACAAGGCCCATCCGCGCCACCTAGGCTTGACATATGTATGCTATACCAACTTTCTTACCTACATACATAAAGCCTTAAATGCCGTGGAAGGGTTCGCAAGACATCCATCCTTACATACATACGTACGCACCGTGCGTCGGATACGGACCGGGGGTAGCTGGGTACATGCACACGTCCGAACAGGCTTCTTGTTGAGGTCGTATCGAGGCTTCGGCAATCTCGATCCGGGGTTATACAGGACAGGGAGCCAAGATGTGGAAACCTCGTGGCTCGGGTGGCGCTTTTTAAAAATTCGTCGTTATGGCTTCGTAGAACCTCGGATTGGGGTGCCGAAAATGAGAGACGGCTTTGGTTGACGGGTGTCATGTTGTGTAGAATAGGTAGGACATGAGAACCTAGTAAGTAAAATCATAAAATGCCAAAGCTCAGGGCCAGGTAGGTTCGTAATTCAACTTGTTATGATGTTTTCCTTTCCACATGACTGATCTAAGCAAAAGACAGTTTATATTGCGCGGGTTCGAGAACATTGTAAAGCTTAAATTAATATACTATTTATATTTATATTGGGATCTGATCTAGACATGGCGATCCTGGAGTAGGGGCTCGACGCAAAGGTCGTATCGTAACTATAGTATGTAGCTTAAGGTCAGATATCGAAATCCTAGACAAGTTAGTTTAATACCTATTCGCCGAATATAGTTGAATATCTAGAAAGGACCTCATGGTCTGGCATAATAGACCTGATACAGCAAACATGTTGAGTGCCGGGATGATGATGTCTCTTCGATTGCGAGTCTTGGACCTATCCCTGGTGGCTATTCTCAACAAGACATAATGCCGCAATAGACAGGACATTGATTGTAGGTCATGTCTTACAGCGTCTATTAACCGGTTTTATTATCGTGATTGCTGCGCTAGTGATGAGAAACATCACGATGGTCTAGATTCCCATGTCTTGGGTCCCTAGGTGGGTTGGGTTCAAGCTAGGCCGATATACCCGGATTCCCAGATCGAGATCTAACTTAAATCATTATCTTCAGGCGATCGGTTGATGTTCGAAAGCCACTCAACTAATTATCGTGTGGCGGGCTCGAATGGCTAAGACGGTCCGAGTCTTCTCAACTTTTGAACTCGTATGGGCTCTGATGCCTGAAGTCGGTATGATCGTCAGCCAGGCTTGTTCGTCGCCGTCCGAGACGTTTGAAATAAGCATTTTCGCCAAGTGGGTAAAGAAAAGCGTCGGGTATGGAGCCAAAAGTTAGGTTCATCTGCCAATTATGTGAGAAGATGAGATGGTTCTGGAAATGCTTGGGCGGGAGATCTTCTTTGATAATGCCAAGCCGACGTGGCCGTTGCCCACGAGCAATAAGCTTTGCCAAGTGCCAAGAAATCTGCCCATCATAAGTTCGCGGTCTGGGGGAAGCAAGATATTCTCGGGTTCCTTGGCGACGGGCACTTGACGAAGATCGCGGGGTATCTAATAGTCTAGTCGGGCTTGGGATATGATCGGATATGCAGCCTCTTTATAAACTGTTGATGAATATTAACGTTACTGAGCTATACTTTGAATCCTGTAATCCTGTTAGTGAAGAGAGGGTCCCGATATGTATCGTCATATGAAACTTCATATGAAATTTTGACATATCCACTCACTTGTCTACATATAATTGGTGCGCTAATATAACACCGAATGGCTATGCCTTTTCTCATAAATACTACGCAGGAGGTAGGCACCCTCATTTTCCTCGGGGATTGTATATTATAGAAGAAATTCGGATAGGTTCGGAACTGAATATAATTTCTGGCGAAATTGAAAATTTATCCCTTTAGTCTTGCTACCCTTCATTGTCGAATTTGTCAAATAGTAAACGAATTACATCAATCAGTAAGAAACCGTTGTGAGTCGGTCTGTCACGCAGTGTGACCATACACAACGATCTCGGCTGAACATCTTACAGAGCGGACCCTCCTTATTACCGTTTCGGGTGGGTAATCAATAATGAAAACTACTTGATGTGTGGCTTTCTCTCGTCGCGTGTAGGTGGCCGGGACCCACGGGTGATGTAGGCCAGTTAAACAGAAATAGTATAATTAGATTCCGTACGAGCGATCTGCCTATGCACAGGCAAACACTTTGGATATTGACTTGTTGTTGCTTGCGGAACGTCGTTCACGGCAATTGCTTCGGAGGACGTCATGCTCCTTAAATTGGGGTCGAAATCTTTCCGGGAACTGCCGGAACCGTTACACTGATTGCCCTGATTGCCTTGATTATCTTGATTGACCTGTCTTTCACGTTGCGATTACTACGATGGCGATGCTCATACGAGTATTACTACCTCGTTATGTAAAAAAGAGTGTACCTTTGGCGAGATGGGGTCGAGAAAGATCGAGAAAGGTCGAAAACCTCGAATGGTCTAGGCTTATGTCATGCAGGTCAAACTTAAGAGGTTCGGTGGTTTGTTTGGTTTCCGCTATCACCTTTCGCGTTTGTTGTTGTGAAATTGTTTCTGTTTCTGTATGTGGGATGATATGACCTTAAAATGGAAATCTTGCAATGTACCAAAGTCGCGGATTTGTTCGATACGTTCGATACGTTAGCACCGAACTAGCCCTGAACTAGTATGTTGCACAGTAAAATGGGTGATAGGGTGATAGGCTAGAGGATATATTATGGGGTATCTTAGTTGATTTAGTTGATTTGGTTGGTCTGGGTGGTAGGTCAGGTAGGTGCGTACCCGTGTGTAGTACGTTGTTATGCAAGTAGGTGCGGTAGACCTCCTATGTTAGGTAATTGCTCTGGCCGAACTCCTAAACACCTTCTGAGACGGTACACTTTTAAGGGAGGCAAAGCCCACTAATTAATTGCTATCTGCCATCCAATCCGACCGACCCCAGTTGCCCCCGGTAGTCTAACTAGCCCAACGGTAGCCACCATCTTAAATGCCATTTCCCCACTCGACAGGGATTATTTGCGATGCGAGTTTAAGCAGCAACCCGACAGGTTCCAATTCTCTGACTCCGACTGATTGACTCGCTCTTTTCCCACCGTTGGTTTTTTGAGTTCTCCCATCTCCCGTTTCTTTTCCACCAAGACTTCTGGGCGCCCAGACCGAAACTCGATTTCTCAAGACACACGACTATCACCCCGCCAGTTACACTATCTAGATCTTTAATACTATTTTCTTACTCTTAAGAAAAAATAAAATAAAAATAAGGAATTGAAGGATTGTTGTTAGAAGAGGAAAGTGACCGATTGAGTCGTCGATTTTTTGTTGCGCGAAACCGAAACCACCGGACTTCTCGGTCGAAGACGACTATTTACCGCAGCACCATCAACCCCGTATCCGCACTCGATTGTCAGTAAGATTCGACCGAATCCATCGAATTGACCACGTAACATCCGCCTCGTCGCGTTTCGAAGCCCTTCGTAGGCTATTCCCATTCCATGGCGAGTGCCTCGCGATAGCATCACAAGTGCCTTTACGTCGCCTAAGCGGCTGGCTGCTTGGTCTGTCTATCCGAGATGGACTTTCCGCGTATCTTGCCGCCTAGGGTGGCGACTACCGCGACATCTTGCACGCCTTATACCATCACATCGAATGGCGTATTATCAATTCCAGGAGCAGACCCGACGACCTTGACGGCCGACGCTGTCTATTCGCCCCTCTGCACCGCTACCGCCTTGGCTCAACCTGCCATTATCGCGAATGGAGGTTTTGATTTGGACCAAACAACTTCGGCTTCTAACCCTCAGTTCTCCGACCTTCGCGATCCATTTTATGCCTCGATATTCCCCCAATGCTACGCTTTAGCTGCGACGACTGTTCTGGCTTATTTGCTACTTATCATGCTTTTTATCGCGCCACGATCCTTTCTCGATGGCGGTGTAGTTGTTTTAGGTCGACGTGGTTTTACGAATGGACCTTCGAATGGCATCAGCATCGGCGGTCGCCCGTGGCTACAAAAAGTCGCCGCGTTAACAGTCGCCATTTCCCTAACTATCGCTACAGCGGATACTTTTCGCGTGGCTGAGGAACAATACGCGTGGGGAATTCAAAATGCGCAGCAGCTTCAGGAGGACGTTTTAGGGGGGACCCAGTTAAAGGTCATTCAACTGATATCTGACACCTTCCTTTGGTTGGCACAAGCCCAGACGCTCATACGATTATTTCCCCGTCAGCGTGAGAAGGTTATCATAAAATGGACGGCCTTCTCACTCATTACGTTAGACGTCATTTTCGGTGCCCTGAATAGCTTCCACTATACGAAGCAGGGCAACACGAGACCGCGCAGTTTTACAGATGCTGTGCCCGCACTTAGCTACCTCTTCCAGCTATCTCTAGGGTTGCTATATGCTGCATGGGTACTTTATTATTCTCTTATGAAGAAGCGATATGCCTTTTACCACCCCTTGATGAAGAATATTTGTTTAATGGCCACACTTTCTATTATATCGATCCTTGTTCCCGTCGTCTTTTTCGTTCTCGACATCGCAGAGCCCGAATTCACCGGATGGGGTGATTATGTCAGATGGGTAGGCGCAGCAGCAGCTAGTGTTGTAGTTTGGGAATGGGTGGAACGAATCGAAGCGCTGGAGCGTGAGGAGAAGAAGGATGGAGTGCTTGGGAGGGAAGTTTTCGATGGCGACGAAATGATGGAGGTATTTCCTTCGGATCTGTCGTGGCCTCGACGACGGAAGAATAAGAAAAAGAGTGATGAAGAGGAGTTTGACGAGGGTGATAGTGGTAACAGCTCGTCATTTGGCGGTCGAAGCAATATGTGGCCAGCTATGTCGTCTATTGCTAGTCGTGTTAGATCGAGATCGGAAAGCAGTCCCGACAGGAGACAGCAAGGCCTATCTACGGCCAGGTCAGCAACCCGATTTTTACAGCCCCCGCTGTGGCCTTCCCGGCCACCCCCAGCAGTTACTCCGGTAAGTAGGACGGATACTGCAAGTGCTGATAGCACCGTCTACGCGGTTCGATATCAACCTCTCACGGAGACAACTACCAGAACTACAGACGATCGACATGGACGTCCTTTATCTAGGAGTAATAGTGCTACTTCCTCAGCATCGGGTCCGGCGTCAGATAGTAATGGACAAACCGGAAGCACCCCTCCACCACAACACCCCCCACCAGCGCCTGAACCAGAAAAGAAGGAGACAAACACGGGTCTCTGGCACCAATTGAACCCATTTAGTCGTGCTGCAAGGGAACCTCCTGCAGAAGTTCTCCCCCACACGATACCTAAATCACCCACGCAACGGCGAGACTACGATAGTGTTGGAAGATGGGACTTGCGGGGACGGATGGAAATTTTTACTGCAACGCAAGCAGAGAGAATCCTAGAGAGGATACGACCAACCCCCGACACTGACAGCCTACCGGTTACCGTTATACCTGCTCCTCCACGCCGAGGTGCTGCTTTAGCACAGCTACTCGAAGAAGAGGAACTACAAATCGAGTCTCATGAGCACTCGGCCCCATCGACTTCTTTGCATTCGAGTCGCCCGATGAGAACCCCAAGTATTGCAACCGGGTCAATGCCACCACCACACCATGGAATCAGAGACAATAGTATGACGTCGTCTACATCGAGGCAGACTCCAAGTCCAGCAGAGAGAAGTGACCTATCCTCTCGCAGGCCGCCTATCACACGTGATGGCAACTCGTTGACAACCTCGACCCATAGGAGTGGAGACCAGCGAGAAAGAATGGCTAGTGAAAGGCGACCGGTAGATGATACTGTCCGAAATGAGCGTAGTCCTACCTCACCACCGGCGTAGAAATATCTGGCATTTACCTATTTTAATCTTTCTATGGTCTAATGAAGCGTGGCGCTTTGGGTTGCATTCTGGGGGTACTAGCGGGTTTCTTTTACGATGACATTCACGGCGCATGGTTTTCAAAAAAGAGGAATAACGGATATCCCTGCCCTTCCAACATTGGGTGATTTAGATAGCGGATTTACGATGTATGCGCATCGAAATCAGCTATCGTGCGGTATGCCCTGCGGGAGGCAATGGTCATTGTATATATACATACACACATTAAGCATTATCACGGGGACACAGTGATAGGAGCATTGACGGCGCATTGAAATTCGGCGGGATGAAGGTCCTGAACAGGAAACCTTCACTCCCCAAAGCCAGCTCGGTATGGGTTGCGGCTGCTTTCGAAATATTAGACTAGTCACGAGGCTAGGTCATGTTATGTGTAAGAGACGGGATATTACCAAATACCTCAGCAGGTATGTAGCACCTCCTACATATTCAAATAGGAGGTTACTATAGAAATAAATTCGAAGCTTTATCTCTTCAGATAGCTATTTATGAGGTGGTGGTTTCGATAATATGAAGTAATTGTGCCTCGGTATTTGATAGTTGGTGATGAGTTTGCTTGAGATATACTGTAATATTGCTCGGGTAATTCGGTAAATGAGTTGGATATGTGCCCCTATTTAATATGAGGTGGTGTAGAAGCGCGTAGTAAGAATTAGACCCAGTGATCGGCACGGGACTTGCGCATTATCAAGAGAAATTGTTCCCGAGGGACACTCCACCCTAAGGACAAGTTGTTTAAAGTTGAGCCTAGGTATGCAGTTAACGAGAACTTATAATCGGATGCTATAGTCATTTCATATTTCATAACGTTCAATAATGCAAAGTTTTGTTAAAGAAATTTATCTTACCTTACCGTCAAGCTCAAAGCCGGCAGAAAGGGGGCTAAAGTAAGGAGCGGTAGTGTGTCTTGGCGGTAGAATTAGCCAATCAGGAATAAGGAAATGCTAGTTGGATCCTAGCACTCATTAAAGTTAGCGACTGTCATATGCTTCCCTGAGGCTCAGGCATAGAAAGGAAGGGTCCATTCATGTGTGTTTATGTGTGTTTATGTGCGTAAAAAGGATAAAAAAAGTTTTATTGCTCATCTCGTAGTTAATAGCGCTATCTACTTAACGGGGTTAGTTAATAGTCTATCAATGCTAATCTACCTGGTACTTACATATCAATCAAATCAAATCTTGTCTAACCTTGAACATTACACACCTCTAGTACCACCACTTTCACCACCGCAACTTTTACTCCTCTTCCTCCTTCTCTCAACCTCAATCCATTTCTTCCTGCGCCTATCAACCTCTGGTCCTAGACTGCTTTCACTCCTTAAGCATCCTGGGATCTTTCTAGGTAGGCGGGTTCGTCGAAATAGAATTACTGGGCTAGTCTATCCTCCCGTCGTCATCTGACCTCAGATTCAATCCTATCTACCTAGTATATTGCGTCCAACATCCTGATTCCGCTCCCGGCTTTCCCGACTTTCCAACTCAGGTACCTCGCGATAGGTTCGAATCGACGACAATGTCTTCGTCCGAGCCTTTCCCTATCCTCAACACTTCGGCCGATCAATTGCACTCCGCAACCGACGGAGGTGCACGTCGACGTAGGAAGTCGAGTGGACTAGGCGCCGACATCCGGGTGGGAGATACTGGCGCACCCAGTCTCCAAACAAGTCTCGACCACCTGCAGCGCAATTCAACCTCGAGCTCGGCTTCATCAAACAGTCAATTACAAAAGTCGCCGTCAGATAACAAAGATGTTTCTAAAAAGGGATCAAAACGTCGAAAAGCGCGGTCTTTCCTGCGTCGCTGCAAACATTTCGCCATTAAGCACACTTGGGTCTTACCTCTTGTGATTCTGGCTATCTTTTTGTCGCTTCTGGCCATCAACCCGACCGAATCGAATCCCATTCACCACTTCATCTTCCTCTCCTACCCGCTTCCCCGTGAGGCTGGTGCCGATCCCGACACACCCATTCAGTATGGCAAGGGATTATGGGATATCGCTTTTGTAGTTTTCTATACAGTTGTCCTCTCGTTCACGCGTGAGTTCATTATGCAGGAGCTTCTCCGACCTCTTGCTAAATATGCTGGCTTGAAATCTCGTGGCAAGCAAGCCCGTTTCATGGAGCAAATGTACACCGCTATCTATTTCGGTTTCCTAGGTCCGGCCGGTATGTATGTGATGAGCAAGACTCCGGTTTGGTACTTCAATACCCGTGGCATGTACGAAGGCTTCCCCCACAAGACGCACGAGGCCGGCTTCAAGTTCTACTACTTGTTCCAGGCCGCCTACTGGGCTCAGCAGGCCATTGTTCTTCTACTCGGCATGGAGAAGCCCCGAAAGGATTACAAGGAGCTTGTCGGACATCATATCGTCAGCTTATCACTTATCGCACTCAGCTATCGTTTCCACTTCACGTACCTGGGTATCGCAGTTTACATCACCCACGATATCAGCGACTTCTTCCTTGCCGTAAGTTGGACCTGTAGTATAATATCCCGAAATGTGACTTATCATGCTAATGAATACTCTCATAGACGTCAAAGAGTCTTAACTACATCGATCATCCTCTTGTGGGACCCTACTTTTTCATCTTCATGTGTTCATGGGCCTATCTACGTCACTACCTGAACCTTCGTATCCTCTACTCACTCTTCACCGAGTTCAAGACTATTGGTCCCTATGAGCTAAACTGGGAAACCGGGCAATACAAGTGCGAGCTGGCCTTCTGGATCACTCTCACGCTTCTGTCGTCGCTGCAAGCTCTCAACATGTTCTGGTTCTTCTTCATCTTGAGAATTGGTTATCGATTCGTTGTCTATAATCAGGCAGACGATGACCGATCTGAGGCCGAGGAGTCCGAGATTGAGGAGCTGGAGAATAAGAAGACCGAGAAGCCGAACATGATTGAAAACAAGACTACCGAAGCAACGCCTCTACTCAACGGCGACGCTAACACGAATGGAGCTACGAACGGCGTTCTGAAGGCTCGTCCAAACGGGGCGGCGTCGGCGCAATCGAAGAAAAAGTCGGCTCGATAGAGATTTGCTGACTTCCCGCCTTCCACGCTTCATGACATTCGCTTGTAAATTTTTAACTTTTTTGATTGCGCGAGGGGCTATCATGTATAATGCGACAACCGGAGTCGAGCATATGTGGCGGACGTAGACAAGACAACTTTGCTTGCATCTGCGAATTCTGATGTGTAACTCACTGGGAGGACAAGTACAAGCAGCGTTCCTCCTAGCCACTTCGTCAAATCATCATCATAGGTACAGGCGTTCGGGAAATGGATTTAGCATCCCAAGCCATTCGCTCATAGGTCATGGAAACGGCGCAGGTGGAAATTGCTTGGTCGCGTTGGGTATGAGGCTCGGGGGGTGATGAGCGCGAGAATGAGGTTTAACGAGTCCGATCTGATATGTCCGATCTCCGTCTATCGCCCACGACATGTTTCGAGTGTTGCGGGGGAATGGATGTTTAGATATTCGGAACGCTAACGAAGGAAAGGAAGGGGGGAGGAGGAGAAAGGGGATGGATGTTATGTGTCCGGGATTTTTTGACCAGACGATGAGCATAGGCATGATGATGGGATGGATGAGAAAGCTCTCGACGATCTTCTTGTTCTTCCCGCTTCCTATACGTACGATAGTTGGACCTCACCAAACCCTTTTACATAATTCTTAATGACAGGCGGGAACGGACGTTTGCGAATGTCCGCCTACCGAAATCTTTGACCCCATCTAATTATTCCCGATCCTTCCGCTGCGCGCGCGGACATAGTTATCACAGGTTGGTTGGTATGTATTCATGCTGGAAAGTGCCGCGTCCATATCGCGGTGTAGGCATGAGGTGCTCGGAGGAGCGTTGGCGCATAGCGCGTGCGCGATATAGATATGTTGAAACAAACTCCTGCTCTATCCGGCATAGCTACCAGAGCGAAGGAGCTCGTGAGCTTCGTCGCCCCGGGCATCCGTCGGTATCTCCTTAGAGGGCAGACGGAGCGGGCTCCGGGTCCGATGATTCGCGATCAGACCGTCGTTAGTTTGCCCCAGCGAACTATTAACTACTAGGTCACTAACTAGCTGTATTCATGCACGCATACATAGTCTTACATACACGCACGCACGCACACATGCACATGATGCTAAGGCTCCTACGCATCGTCGGGCGTGGGATATGTCTGCCGTTTCCTGTTTATCGTCGGCGTCGCCGAGGTCGACTTAGAGAGCGGGCGAACCCGTTTATCTATCCATCTCCATACCTAACCATCACCAACACCAACACCGAATTCCTAAGAACCGGGGAATGTAGTGCATAGAAGCGTCGTCGAAAAAGAGAAAGCCGAGATAGGGTATGTACCTACATACACAGCATAGCATAGCATAGTATAGCGTATTAGAAACGGGCAAGCGGATATATATAAGTTCGCGCAGCGTATGTATGTATGCGCGGACCCCAAGCCCTCCCAAAGCAGAAGAAACGACGTTTATCCATCCATCTGTCTGTCTGTCTGGGGGAGTAATTAATTATCTCAAAACAAGAACCCCAGGAAAGGTAGGTCCCTACCTACATACGTAGTACGTAAGGCAAGGTATGTAGGCCCACGGTATGTAGGTAGGTACTTTATGACCCAAAGAACGCAAATATTAACGCAGACATCATCAAGGATACTCCACCAAGCCCTTGCTCACCGAGGGGTATTTACACGCCTCACCGGGGGTCCTAGTCGACTTACCCCCCTCCCCCGCCAAACACCTCACCTAGGTAGGTAGTTTCGTTTACCTTACATACCTTAACCTACCATACATCTTGCTTGTTTGTCTGTCTGTCTGTCTGTTTGTACCTTAATACCAAGACATCCATGCATGAAGTATCCCCAAGTAAACGCGCACGTCTCCTCTACATCTTCTCAAAGTACCCTTCCAAGTACCTACCCGTTCCCTACCATGTACAATACATACATACATACATACACCTACGATTACCTACGTAACGTATGCATTCGATAACATTACATCGCGCATAACGACGCCGTCATCCCGTCCCGTCCGTCCGTCCGCGTATCCCCGGGCTTATGTATTCTTAATTTTTTTTCTCCCTCCCCTCTCTACCGCCTTCCCTTCCTTTCCCTATCCCATCCTATCTTATCCTTTTCCCTGATCGCCAACGCCCGCCCCGGCACGCAAGTAACCAAGCAACGTTGCAGGGGGACCGCATCTGCAGGAACGCGCTTTTGATGGTACGCCGAACCTTGCTGCCCATGCTTAGGTGAGGACGCGCGAAAAGGGAAAAGGGAAAGAAAAGAAGGGAAAATGCAACCCTGGGCCGGGGTCGGGAGGGACCAAGGCGATAAAGGGGTTCGGTTCGAGTTATATTAGCCATCATGGCAGATCGGGAGACCTTGCCGGCCTGAGCCGCATCCCGGAACCTTTTTTTTTTCTATTTGGAATCCCTGAACTTGAAACTTCAGATGGTTGCAACGTCATTCCAAATTTGTGCCGACGGAGCTTAAGCAATCTGGGGAAGGTAAGTTAGGGTACATAGACGCATCATCACCATCAGCCTCACTTACGACTTGTCACAGCATCAAAAAGCACCGATAGCGGATGTTCCCGTCGAAGCATGTAAAGTGTAAGCGAAGTCATTGCAACCCCAATTGCGAAAGGGTCCTTCGGTATTAACAGTCGGTCCATTGTGAATGGAAAGTAAAGCCACCTATAACGTCTAGCCATTTGCAAATGGTAACACATCACCCCTGTCGCAAATCTCGTCTCTCATCACGCCTGCTAATGCTGCCAGTCATCATCTCATTATGGTGGTAACAGCTTATCCACCGTTTCCGCGAGGAAAATAGAAAGGAAATAGAAGAAGAAAAAATCTCAAGGCGTAGCAACCCGACTGACTAAAACCGGAACCAGAAAAAGAAAAATTAGTTAAAAAAAAAAGAAGCGAAAGCGCAGAATCAAAAGCCTTCCTCCATTCCCCCTCCTAAGCGTTGGTTTGTTCCCGTTTCCGTCCCTTCCTGTTCCATCCCGCCTTTGCCGGAACTTTTTCGTGTGTGTGTAAAGGCCATGACCGATCGTGTGTTTTGCAAACAACGATGCTGAATTAAATAAGACAGGACGACGTAAGTCTTTTGGTATCGTTGCGAAGAATCGTGAGAACCGGAAATGCAAGCCGCCGAGAGCCTCTGATGTAGAGGGGTCTTTTTCTGTATATGCCACCAACGCCGCCCTATAATGCAAGTGTAGTACCCGGTATTCCCGGGAAATGAGGAGCTCGTAGGAAGCTCATTAGCAATAACTAAGTATATATCGCGTAAAATTGGGAATATGGACATGAATCGAGTCCAAGTCAGTGGACAGACATTAATGATTAATGGGTCAATCGAGGAGAACCTTCAGCAGATATTGCAGGTTCGAACTGAACGCTCAGTCGATTGGGGGTCGTCGATTCATCAGATGAGCTGCTTGAGTCGTCGTTGCCATTAGAATCTTCATTTCGGGCGTGATGATCGCCGGAAGGAGACGGAATATTAGCCTTGCGCATAAGCTTTTCAGCTTTTCGGGTTGCGTTGCGCGCATCCTCGGCTGCCTTTTCGGCTTTCGCTTGACGATTCCACATCGATGCATATCGACCATTGAGTTCGAGCAGCTTTTCGTGCGTGCCCTTCTCGACGATGGTTCCTTGGTGCAATACAAGGATTTGATCTGCATGGGTAATTGTAGAAAGTCGATGCCTAAAGGCGGTCAGTTGGGCCGGTTACGGAAACGCTATAGACGAAACAGTCTTGAGAAGAAAAAAAATTTTAACCAAAAAATTGTCCAAAAAAACTTACGCAATGATTAGCAGTGTACGCCCGCGACCGATATTGGCGAGTCGGGACTGAATCTGCTGTTCCGTGTGGCTGTCAAGTGCCGAGGTGGCTTCGTCAAGCATGATGATCTTAGGATTCTTGAGTAGCGTACGCGCAATGGCCACCCTTTGCTTCTCACCGCCACTCAAACGTAGGCCACGCTCGCCCACCTTAGTGTTATAACCATCCGGGAATGACATAATCCTCTCGTGTATGCTAGCAGCTTGGCAGGCCGCAAAGATGTCGTCGTCAGTCGCATTCTGGTTGGCGTATCGCAGGTTATACATGAGTGTATCGTTGAACAGGACCGTGTCTTGCGGCACTACTCCTATGTAGCGTCGAACAGAGTCAATCGTGACATCCTTGATGTCGCGGCCGTCGACCCTGATGTTTCCCTCTTGACAGTTGAAGTAGCGATACATCAATCGAAATAGAGTAGACTTGCCGCCGCCCGATTCGCCGACAAGCGCTGTGGTCGTGCCAGGTTCGCAAGTGAATGTCAGGTTCCTCAGCGCCGGCTTTCTTTTGTCGTATGCGAATTTGACCTTAGAGAATTCGACACGACCTTCGCACGAAGAAAGATTAGCGGCGCCGGGGCGGTCAACGACAGTAGGACGCTGCTTGAACAGTTCCAATAACCGCTCTCCAGATATCATAGCTTGCTGCACGGTCCGGTAGAAGGTTCCGAAAAAGTTGAGCGGACCCTGCAGCTGGCCTAAATAGGTCATCAAAGTAACGAAGTCTCCGACTTTGCGGCTACCCATAGTTACCTGGTACGCGCCAAGCATCATAGCGACCAGCATCCCGATCATGAAAACCAATGACTGGCAGATATTCATCGTGCTTATGCTCCACGTGACCCTAGCCTCCGCAACTTGAAAATTCTGAATAGCTTCTCTGTAGCGATTGAATTCGAAGTCTTCCGCGTTGAAATATTTGACCGTTTCGTACGAAATGATCGAATCATTCTTAACCGCTTCTTCTTCTCTGTCCGCATTGGACATCGCCCTTCTCTGGTCTGCGGTCTTGGATGCCATTCGTATTGTCAAGAACAAATAATAGAATGTAATTGAGCAGACGATGACGGCGTAGACGGCGTCGAATCGGACGTAGAAATAGCTGACAGCTACAAACAAGTCGATGAGCATTGGGAAGACCTGGAACGTGACCTGTTCGAGGAAAGCATTGACGGAAGAGCCCTTGTTAAGAGCGGATAACACCTCTCCAGTCCTCTTGCCTAGGTGGAAGTCGAGACTTAGAGAGTGAACATGTTCGAACGCTGATGTGGTAAGGGCTCGGTACGTGTGCTGCGAAACAGGGATC